CTTCATCATATCCATTCCCCAGACTTTCGAAAAACATTCGCGAGGAATTTTGAAGGAAATTATCTATGAGAAAATTAGCATCATATACTGGAAACTCCACCGCCACGGCATCAGATGAGGCAAATGCTCACTAATATTCATAAAAGGTAAGTGAAAGGACCACATGTACTGACACTTATGCAAACCACAGAACTCGGGAATAATGCAGAAAATAATGCAGTACTTTTAAATGCCAAAATTCAAAATGCGTAAATGATACTTCGCAACAAATTCAAAAGTTTAAACTAAGAAGTTCCAGTACATGAATTTTGAAAGTCATGAAATCAGTTCCTATTGAGTTTTGACTGGTTTCACATACAGCTCTAACACAAAATAAATACGCTATACATTATACGTACAGTTATACAATGCAGTATTCAAATACTACATGACTTTTGGAGATTTCAAAGGCACGACGTTTTCTACTGTGCTGTAAAATTTTACATATTCCTTGCTTATCTAATTGGAACCGGGCAATGTGTCTTTTTCAATCACTTCGGGTCTTTTTCAGATAATAAGGAAAATTAACGCAATGCATGGTTGCAATTGATGGAAATGATGCTGGAATAGAAAGTACAGTATTGCCTTCCAGAATATTAAATCATGAATAATAAAATCCAAGAATTTGAGTACCCTGTAAAATAAACTGAACAAAAGGATTATTTGAAAGTTCCTTTGACAGAACATGATGCAGGAAAATCCAATAGATGGGGCTGTGGAGAGAATATTACATATTACAGTATATACAGTATAGTACAGTATATAGGCCCATTCAAGATGTAGGGATTATATGTTGAATGAATTACAGAAATACTGCTGTCAAAAATTTAATGAGACTTCAGTATTTTAGCAATAAAAATTAGTTTATTTATAGGACTTCAAGTGTACAATCACTACTCTTGGTAAAGAGATGGTTTGGTTAGTTATTTGAATAGGTGAGAAATTTTCTTTACCTTGGATATGTGGCATTTCTTAATGTTTTAATGTTGTGTGTAAGATAAATTTTGGGAATTAAATGCAAGACTTGGTAAGATGGGTGTGTAAGAATTGGTTTTATTTTCAAAATTTGGTGAACAGGTTGGAAAATTGTTTCAATGTCTGGGTTGGTCAAATGCTGTACAGTTTCAAATCAAGATAAGTTTCATGTCCTTTAATTTCATGCATATATGGAAGATTCACACTCATTAAATAATAAAAAATGCAATTTTGGATGATATTCCATGCTTGAAATGAGAAAAAAATTTCCGAGAAAGTGCCATACCCCATTGAAACTTGGAGAAAAACATGCACAAAATATTTTTTGAAATCACTCACATCTGACAATAAGACTCAAGCACCCACACATTTCATAAAAAATGAAAAAAAAAAAAAGAAAGTATGAACTCAGACAACATATGAGCAGCCTTTTGATTGCTGCTGGTGGTCCACTTTTCAGTGTGGAACCTATTTATCATTTAGAGCCAGGATATAAATTCCAATATCCGTGATCAACATCAGCTGATGTTGACCGCGGGAACTGTGATTGTGACCCAAAATCGAAAGGGGCTGCTGCCCTATCGCGTGGTACCCGGCCAGCAAGCAGGGTGGGCAACTTCTCTGGCTTTTAATTTGATGGGACACGCCGAAAATGTATCTTCTTTTCTTATGAGCAAGCAGTCATAAACCAAAAGCGAAGCAATTAAGAGTCATATACTGTACAGTACTTTGAAAAGCACATCTTCAGATAAAATGTCCTGTATTCAATTATTCAAGGCTGATAATTGATGGAAACTTTTCCATCGAAATTTATTCATGAAGGTGGTAATGATTTATTCTGCCATCAAGCAAGTAAAAAATACATTATATAGCTAAACAGAGTTGGTTGATAGCTTTCATCAGTCTTTTGCTGCAGATTCTTTGAAATTGACATGTACAGTATATGTTGAAATTAATTTCTCAGCATGCAATCCTCTAAGAATTTTCAGATTGACACTTGGATGCAATTTTCCCATGTCAATTAATTAATTTGTAAATTTCGAAATAATATACAGTATACAGTACTGTATACACTATACAGTATATAAAAATGCGAATAAGGCATGATACTGTATAACCAGCATCCTTTTCTGGAAATGAGTCCACTTTTTCCAAAGGATGACAAGTATACAGTATTTCATTCATCAGTAACACACATTATTTAGGTTTAAACAAGTGCAATGCTTGAAAATATATTGAGAAAAATCTGCCAACAAAACATGTTTTTGATATCTTGACAATGTTGAAGTGAAACATAGGATCAGTTAAATTACAAAATTGTTCCATCAAATAAAAACTTCCCCTATATAAGGGCTTGGAATGCAGACTTTCTGCTCATGTTCTATCTGACATTTAATCGGGAAAAGCTTGAAAAAAAAAATAGTGAAAATGTGCCACCTATTTCTGTACCCAGTAACATGACTGTACTGCAGCTATATAGGCTCTGAACTCAGGGTATTCAAGAATATTCCTGACACTACCCATGTAAAATCATTGTGAAAAAGTTTTGCATTTGCAGGTGGTTGGCAATTTTTCAATACTGAAAACTTTGTTAAATCATGAAATTAAAAAACTTTCATCATGGTTTCTTTCAAATTACAGGCTTGTAATTCAGTAAAATCTATAGTCACCATCATAACATATCTCATTAATACAAATTAATTCCAAAATTAATTTGTTTTTTGGCCCCTTTACAATAGCCACAATGTCATTCTAATTTTTTTCAATGAATTGTATTGAACAGGTGGACTCTCTCTCTCTACAACAGAACTCAATGGACCAGAAACAATTTTTGTGGAGTGAATTTTGTTGTAGAGAACCAGTATAACCTGGGAAGAGAACTCTGTGGGACCACGTAAAAATTTGTCATACACAGAAATTTGTTGCAAGCAAGATCATTAAGAGAGATAGAAAGGCGCGGAAGAGAGAGTCCACCTGTAATCAAAAAGCTTTTTAAGTTACCAATAAATGCTTCGGTGCAACGTAACTCGATTTTACTGTATTTGAAATGGCCGAGCATAAATCTTACACAACTCTTACATTATTTGAACTACTGCTACTTGAAGCATAAATAAATGAAACTGCGGTCAGCCTTTCCACCGGCTGATGAACAGCAGACGATTTCTGAAATCCTCACCTCACCTCACCAAGTCACTCGCCGCATCATCACCATTAACCCAAAGAGGAATGAAACGAAGGTCGAAAGTTCACCGACGGTTAATTTATTCAACGGAGCCACAAAAGAATGTCGTCCAGAGGGAAGAGAAGATGGAGTAAAAATTGCCAAACAGGTTTCGTCTTCGGACACTCAAATCACAACCCATCACAACCGTATAACGCCATGGTAACCATTAAAACGAGATCAACTCAACAAATCTCGAAACGCCTTCCTCCACTGGAATTTCATTTCAATAAAAAAAACTTGTTTGTTGCTGAACAAGTTTCTTAAAATTATTTTCAGTTCCGCCCCCACCCCAAGAAAAAAGCTCTCCAAGAAATTACGGTATAAAAAAAAAGCGCATAGTACATTGCCATAAAAAACGCAGCAAAAAATGAACGAAAAGTGCAAAAAACATCGAAAACTTCCTTTCTTTTCAGGAAATACTTATACGACTGTATTCACGCGAACATAAAACGCCATTGATTCTAAAACCAACTAAAAAAAAGATGAATAATTGAATAAATTACTTACTTAAAACTTGAAAAAAATTTTCTCACGCTGAATTGTCAGCTTTCTTCATCAGACCATTTTGAATGAATTAAAGACTTACTGAAATCATATAAATAATCGGTGGACATTCTCGGTTCACGCCCCCCCAAAAAAAACAGAACTTTAAATTCGAATCCAATATTAGATTCAACTGATTCTCACACGCAATTTCATTTTACGTCAATCAAGTGCGTTCTACATTCGCGTAAATACATAAATTACGATAACTTGCTTCACAAATAACTATTTTCCGAGCACCGACATGAATAATATATCCTGTTCTATGAGCCCCATTCAAAATCTCTGTTCATCTCGACCAACCTCTTTTTCTCAACAGCCAACTTTCCTTCTCCTAATTTTTATTTTTTTCATGTATCACGACTAAAAAGCTCATGCTTTGAAAATTTTTTCTAAAGACTGTCGACTGAGAAAAAAGTCTCGGAAATACGCTGAACAATGACCATAAAACGGATTCTCTTCCTCTCTATGGAAGCTTTCATTTTCTTTCGCAATTTGAATACAAGTTCGACTTTGGATACATTTGCTTTTCTTTTTTGGTTTCGTTTCTTGGAAGGCAACGATAAGTCGATTGCTTCAACTAATCATATATACGCTGAGCAATACGAGTATTGTTCATACTTTTTCTTCGAACACAATTCCCGGGAAGATGATCACAAAATTTTAAATAAACCTTCGGCTTCCGGTGAGGGAAAAAAATTTGAGCAGAACCATGATCTCAACTGAAAAATCAGCAAAATGGCCTTCGAGTTTTCAAATTGTGAAACAGATTGTCTCGGAAACTGTCCACAATAACACCAATCAAGGAAAAACCCATTTCTGGCACAAAAAAAGATTTCAAATGGCATTTTTCAGCTTATAGAAAAGCTCCATTACTTCTTCCTTGTTCTCACACAATGTGGAAATCTTTGCGCCCAACTTGGACTTCATGTAGTAATGGTGAAACAGCTTTCCGTCGAAGTACCCGTGTGGAAGTACCTATGGAATCGAGAACAGTTACAACATTTTTTAAACCCACATTTTCACCCAGTGCCCTTTTCTCCAAGTAAAAAAAAAAAAAAAAAATACAACTTTGAAAAAAAGCACAACACAATAAAGACCGATTCTGGTTCTTTTGAAAGGAAACAAAAATCATGATTTTTTGACAAACCTTAAATCACACTTCAAGTTTGGTTACAGGACAACTTGGACAGCAACAACTCAACTTTTTAAATTAACTTTTAAATTGATTGCAAGACCTTCTTTCTTTATATTCCTTCCATTTCACCCAAGAAATCATCCAACACTGGCTCAGAAATCAATAAAGTTGAAAACTGCAAAGCCGGTTCACTGTTATCAGATTCTTTGTCACTCGCTTGTAGAAAATAAGAAGACTCAATTGTGCCAAAGAATATATTTTCCCTAAAGAATAAATTTTTTTCAGCTCAATTATATGCCATTTTAATTTCTATTCCGAGAACTTTTGTTAGACGTAGTGCATAAAAAAAAAAACCACATCACAAATGACGCACCTCTTGCAAAGGAACAGGGTAGTTACAAACTCCGAGGAGGAACAAGACATTGGACACGCCTCTCATGAAAATGGTCGCCATGTGTATGGGTCTCGCATCGACCCGCTCCAACTTCAAGACATGCAGGGTTTGGAAATTGTTCGCAATCGGAGACACGGCCTGAGCAACGAACGCATTCACTTCCCAGTCGTGCAAAACCGGCTTCGATTTTCCCTATTTATCGAAAAGGAAAAAAGGCAAAGAAACGAATTGCAAAAAAGGAGCGAAAAGCGATATTATTGACATGCACACACATCATATAAAGTAACATTTCTTAAATGTCCTGAAACACTCGCTAAAATTTTCAATTATACTCGTGTTGAAATGGAGGGAAGACGCAGAATTGAAATTATATCCCATCACTGAAGAAATTTCAAGCAATAAAATGTCACACTTGCATGTGTTATAAATTTGAAGTCATTTCAACTGCTGACAAACGCTTAAATTAATTTTAGAAACTTAGTATAATAACTATATACGTTTTTTCCCTTGAAATACTGTATTTTACTTTCCTAAAAATGTTCCATACAATGTTGTGCAGAACGTTGAGTGCTTTCTGGGAACACCTGACGTCCTACATCATGAAATATTGAAAACAAATTTTCAAGTACAATATCTTATTTGTAAATAATTTTTGAAGAAGCTGCTGAGGAACACTTGCGTTTTGCTTTGCTTTTACACATCATCATTGCCAAAAATCAGCCGATTCCTGAACAGAGTTTCATCCAAAGTTAAAGTAACTCCAAGACAGTTTATGCTTGCCTGGGTTGTTCAGAAGATGATTTTCAAGAAATAAAAGGAACAGTTAATCAGGAGAGAGTTCCCAGGGAATGAATGAATTTATCCCTAAACTGAGTTTGACTAAAAAAAAATCCATGATAAAAAACTCGTTCATTTCAAGGCACACTTAGTGACAAAACGTAAGCATCATTTACTGTAATTGAGTCTGGAAGGAAGAATTTCTTTCACATCTACTTGTGTCGTTTCATTTTTCAAAAAGATAAGCACATTTGAAAAAAGACAGGTTCAATTCAAGGGAAGTGTTCCTTTATTAAAAAAATATCTCCCTTGATTTCATCAAAGAAAGTTAGAAATGACAACGCGTCCTAAATTACCTATTGCAGAAGCACTTCGCAATGTTCATTAATCACTTCTACAAAATTTCAGTCTTGAATATGTTCAAGAGCATGAGGAATTTTTCGTGAAAACAATATTCTTTTCTATCAGGTTTCCCGGGAGTTCGTTGTAACGAGATTTTCCTGTACAGTGCTGTACTTGCCTTTGTCAGATAGTGAAGAACAGCGACGAGAATCAAATACTTTGGCGGGAGATCCTTCCAGCGATCGACATCGTGCTTCGGAGTCAAGCAAATGCAAAAGGTTTTCCAGCGCCACTGACCAACTTCTTCACTCTCGTCCAACCAGAGAACCTCCATCGACTTTGACTTTTCTGTAATTATTATTATTTTTCAATCACCACAGTTCGTATTCCTGAAATAATTTAGCGATTTCTCAAATTATTAACGAACCAGGAGGCGGCAAAACGTCAACGTAGTCGGCCTCGTCCAACACACACGTCTTGTACACGCACCACTCGGCCACTCGAATCCGCTTCCGGTTCGGATCAGCACCTAAGAAAAAATTGATTTCATTACTTCAACAACTAAATAATGCTTATACTTTAGCAAGTTTTGAACAGAAAAATCCAAGTTATCTCAGCCCATGATGTTCCAAGATTTCAAGACTTTTTCCGGATTTTCAAAAAAGTTTTTAAATTTAGGGCCTGATGAGAAGTGAGAACGGTAAGGCACTCCCGCAAGAGCGACCTCTAGGAGATACTTTGATAACTATAGGAAGAATCGCAAAACACATGGAAACCACAACCTTCACGAAAGATCTGTGGAACGACCGCGGAGAGGAGCAACCGAGCATCTGTCGACTTGTACAGACCTCTTTAAATCTACTGACTTCCTTGTGTTTATGGGGTGACATCGAGACAATATAATAAAGTGTTACCGAGTTTCCAGACTTCTGCATTTATTTCCCCCAAAAACTCCTACTAAACTTTCCTGCAGTCACAGCCAGAGTTCTTCACCCGTGTCACAGGGCGCTAAAATTTTGCCAGGCTCGTGAAAAAATATAAATTTTTGCTGTTTTAACCAATATCTAAAATGCCGAAAAGCTCTTGGGTAAAATTGAAAAAACGGAATTTCTTTTTTTGCTGGCACCCTGTGGAGATCTGTCTGGCTGTAACAGGAAAGTTTTCACTTTTCATCATGCAGTAAATTGAAGAACTTTTCTTTCTAATCCGGATAAAATCGCAGAACCTTATAGATCATCAGGGGCAATTTCGTAGTATTTTTTTTTACGATCACACCACCTCTATAAAGCATCAGAGTTCGCGTCCAACTGGGACGACCCTCGTATATACAGTATACCGCATAAAAAAAAAAAAACCGGAAATTCGCTGAATTGCCCATCTGTACCACCTCTGTAAATTCCACTCACTATGCATCTCCTTATTCTTGCCATTCTTCTTGTCAACAACGGGTTCAGGCGGCACAGAAAACAACACCCCGTAGATCCGCTGACGCAGGGGCAAGGGAGAAAGAAGAGTCCCGGAAATGCTTCATAAACTGCGCGACTTTGGGTACGATGTGCTCGGCTCTGGGTTTCCCGACGAACTTGGCATCTTTGCAAATCCGACGATGGAATAAAACCAAGTCCTAAACACACACACAAAAAAATAATTTTCTTCAAACATTTTGACGCATTTCAAGTACCACACGAAAACTTAAAAAGGGGAAATCCTCTTGGAAGCAAGCTCGCAATTAAAATTTTTTTTTTATCGCACAATTTTGCGAAAATCCCACTTGAAACTGGTCTGAGAAAGAATTTGCAAATTATTTCCCCTCTCCTAATGCAGTACTGTACATAATTACTATTGTAATTATTTAAATTGTCACGGTATTAATGATACAGTATTGCTCATGATGAATTATTTTTATTGAAATAAAATCAAGGTGAGCCTCGTAATTTTTGATCTGCGATATTCGCAATTCCCGACGAACTTGGCATCTTCGCAAATCCGACGATGGAATAAAACCAAGTCCTGGACATTAAAAAAAATATTTTCTTCGAACATTTCAACGCTTTTGTCAACAGGCATAATTACAAATACTGTACCACACGAAAAAATGGACCCCACAATTTTGAAATTAGGAACCCTCTTCGAAGCAGGCTCGCAATTTCTAATTTTTGTTCGATCGCAAAATTTTGCAAAAATCCCGCTTGAAACTGGTCTGAGAAAAGATGTGCCAATTATTTTTCGTTCTTTCCTAGTTCAGTGCAATAAAGAATCGTAATTTTTAAAATTGTCACGGTATTCATATGACTCAGATCAAGATCAATTTTCATCGAAACGAAATCAAGGTGAGCTTCACAATTTTAGATCTGCGAAACTCGCCATTTCAACGCTTTTTAATTCGTGGAGATTTTTCGTCTCTAAAAAATTACGGTAATAGTACAAATTTTTGTCCATCCAATACAATGAGAATAAATGACACGGATCAACTACAGAACAGTTCGCCTCTGAATGATTGAGCAGAAAAGAACATTTTCAAGTTCTTAAATCGCGTCTTACAATCGATACTTCGTCCAAAATCAACTTCAGTCATTTCAGCGGATTAAAAAACACAAAAAACCTGCGAATTGACGACGTCGTTCCCGATCAAGCTGGCAAGCAACGGCAATTGATCCACATTGAGTCCGAGATGCCAAGCGAAGGCTTCTCTGTCATAATTCGTAGTTTCCAGGGACTCAATATTCAGGAACTGACTAGAAAGGTAATAAGGAGCGGAGTCGAAAATCATGTAGTCCGAGTCCTGTGCCAAAATTCCGAAGCATTCGTGACGAACAGCGTATTCCGCCACTTCGATGTCGCATTCGTTCACTGACGTGTAAGTTTCGCACTGGCACTCGTACTTGATGATGAATCTAAAAGAGAAAAAGAAAATACAATAAAAATACTTTTTTAACTTTTAAAAAAGATTGCGTGACACAAAAAATGGGTCTTCCAAAATTGTGCGGAAGTCAGAACGAACAAAATACATGCGCTGATAATTTTGTCAATCTCATACAGCTAATTATGGAAATTTAATTCTTTCTCATCCACTTCGAGTGCAAATGGAATATCATCAGAGAGACGTAGAAATCATGACAGGTCTTAAATTATCTGTAGTTGAAGAACTTGACAACATTTTAACCAATTTTCCACAAAATTGCAGTGTAACATGTGTTGAAAAGCATAAATCTCGATACGAATTTTTAATTAGGTCCCCGGGAATTCATTGTAACAAGATTTTACTGTAGTTAAAAAAAAGTTGAAATTATTTCAACCGAAGGTTCACAAATCACCGAGTGATCATTCCCATGGACACAGGGAACTGGAAAATCTTGGGATCCGTGGGCTTCGCGTGCATCTTCTTCACGGCTCGGAAAATATCCTCAATGTCTCTTCCGCCCTGGACTCTCCGCTGCACCCACAGAGGGCGCTTCACTTCCGGCGTCGGCCCATCAAAGAAGAACACCAACTTGATCCCGGCTTTGCGGAAACTCGACACGAACCGTTTGAGTAGAGACACGTACTCTCTCCATTGTCCTCCGTAAATCCACTCCAAGTCCGTGTACCAACGCTTGAGACAAGACATGCCGTCCACGACGACGACGGGTTCGCGGCCGGTTTCATTCCGATACTCGGCAGCGAGCTTCTGGATGTTGACTTTGTAACAGGCCTCCGGACATTTGGCTTCCACAAAATATTGCAGTCCTTTGACTCCCATATTAAAAATCAAATTTGCTACTGCACGCCACCCCGAAAAAAAATAATAGAGCAAAAAAAAAAAAAAAAACTACCCTCAGCTCGAAGATTGATGAAAGGAAAGTGTACAAGAAAAACCTGGAATCAACGATACACGTACAGTACAGTAAATTCACTCTAAATCGTTCAAAACCTTTCCCTAAAACCTGCTTCTCATAGTAAAAGTACCGAATTTCCCAAAAATAAGACAGGTCGTATGAGCAGTATCATTTAAAGGCAAAAAATGACTAGGTAATGATGAGCCTCTGGACATTTGCAGCTTCCAAAAAATACTGCAGTCCTTTATATCAGAAGGCAACTTTTCTAGCACGCAAAAAAAAAAAAATAAATAAATAGAGCAGAAAAATCTAACCTCAGCTTGAAGATTATTGGAAGAAAAGTGTACAAGAAAAATCTGGAATCAACGATACACGTACAGTACAGAAAATTCACTCTAAATCGTTCAAAACCTTTCCCTAAAACCTGCTTCTCATAGTAAAAGTATCGAATTTCCCAAAAATAAGACAGGGCGTATGAGCAGTATCATTTAAAGACAAAAAATGACTAGGTAACGATGAGCCTCTGGACATTTGCAGCTTCCAAAAAATACTGCAGTCCTTTATATCAGAAGGAAACTTTTCTAGCACGCAAAAAAAAAAATAAATAAAATAAATAGAGCAGAAAAATCTAACCTCAGCTTGAAGATTAATGGAAGAAAAGTGTACAAGAAAAACCTGGAAACAATGATACACATAGAGATAAGTTCACTAACTCTATCAAAACCTTCTCTAAAACCTGATTCTCATCGTACAGTACCGAGTTCCCCAAAAATAAGACACGTCGTATTTACTGCATAATTTAAAAAAGTCTACAATACATTATCCTCAAAGGAATTGAGACAGGGACTGAACAAAAATGAAACACACAAAGCTTTTTGACTCGCAGAGGTTTCAGCCAATCAGGTTTTGGAACTGTGCTATAGTCCTCAAAAGGTTTCATTTTTGAGGTGAACAAAATCACAGAAGTTCCCACACTTCCAATTCAGTAACTATCAGCGACTAAGTCAACTTCAAACACAACACAGCTCCTAATTCACAAGAGCAACACTACACCGAATTCTATTAAAACTATCTGCAGAAGAAAAAGAAGACCAATAAAGAGCATTTGTAGAAATGGTTCAACGCACAAAATGTTCCTTCCCTCCTGCCGTGGGCAACCCCTCAAGTCTTTAATTCATAGAAAGGAATAAAAATATAATTACACCTAAAAATGTCAAATTGGATTACCACAGAAAAAGATTTCGAAGGAGGAAAAATATAGCAAGAAAACATTCTTCCGGAGTTTTCACGAGTGAATAACGAAGAGCAAAGAGCCCGGAAAATTACATCCGTTTGAAAAAGCAACAAAAAACGAAGCCTTCAACACTGAAGAAATAGGCTTCTAAATAGGAGAAAGTAACTTGAAAAATTTTCAATGAAATAAAGACAACGTATTGCCAAAAAAAGGACTGTACAGCACAAAAATAGCTTCCTTGAAAAATACTCCGAAGGGGAAAAATAAACTGAATTTCGAAGCAAGAAAAAGCAGATCAGAAAAGACATCCTTGAAAATTAAGATAAAATCAACTCGATAAAAAAAAACAGAATCTGCAAAAATAAAGAGGGATCAACGAAAGAACGAAAAAGAGAAACAGAAAAAAGCTTTTTTCCATTTTCCGCCCAAAGCCGTATGAGAAACACGGCGAATATGCCAAAACACATGATGCTCATAAGTAAGTGGCCGTTACCAAGGCTCGGCTCTTCCGCTTAAAAAAAAAAAAAAAAAGGCAACACAAGGAAGGGAAACAGGAAGTGGTTCAACAAAATTCAACATCACTCTAGTTTTTTTTCATGAATTCCGCGGGATTGAGTTGATGCTGTTCGATTGCGTCGGGCCGATTCCGTCTATATTTTGGTTCATCATCCCTGAAGCCATTTCTCTCATGGGGGACTGAAATAATTTGGTAAAATAAAAATCAATCGTAATATAAAGAGAAACCAAAATGTCTCGGATCTTGACTCACTTTAACGCATATTTGCGCCCTGCTCAAAGCAGTCCGCAAAATCAACGCCTTTGTCGTTTTCAAATTCTCTCGGCCAACTTCCAGCACCTTTTCAAAGGTTGCACTTCTCTGGTCAACGGCCCTGGCATACAAAACCTGAAAAACAAAATCATACTCATACTGCGTCCAAAAATTGACATCACTGAAAATCATACTAAAATAAAAGTAATGACATCAAACACCTTAGTTCTTATAACTTGAACGTTTCCGAAAATATTCGGGCATTGTCGATCACAACGAAGAATTTTTTCAATTTACAGACGTCACAATGGCATTTTTACTCAACACTTATTTTATCAAGTCCGGCTTGACAAGACAAATCTGATGCATTTCCACCTGCGTTTCATTATTACTGTATTTGGATGAGAAAAAAAATGAATTTTCCATTGCCCATTAACTGTTCGTACATCCGAAATATCCCGTGTTTGAGAAAAACTGTACCACATAGAATTAAAGAAGAACCCAACCTTGTTATGAGAATCAATCCTCGCTTGGATTTGTCCGTCTAAAATCAACTGAATGATTTCATCCTCCAAATCCTTCACAGTGGTATTGAACGCAGTCGCCATACACTTCATGTCAGCAGACGTATAAGGACTGAAAAGTTGAACATCGGTATGATATTACAGTTCTCATCCTTTCATTCTTTACAATGATCAACAAATTACCTGAAATACTGAATCAGAGCCCGATTTCGTATTTGCGTGTATAGCGTTCGGACATGCGGTGCAAGATACATGTCTAAAAGCAGCGAGTTTTTCAGTTCTTCCAGCTTCTTCAGGCATCCGTCATATCTGCTCTCATAGAACTGCAGGATGACGTCCCTCAACTGAGGCTCCATCTCTAGGAACAACTTGAAACCACTGAAAAAATAGGTAGACTTTAAAAAATACAGTACAACTTATCAATTCAATAAAAAAAAAAGATTGCAGCTAAGGCGTTTGAGTTGTAATGCTTCTCAGATTCAAGTGCCTATTTACACTACTGTAGCTTACGTAAAAATGGGTTTCTCAAAAACTGTAGTATGGTACTGTATTAGATCTCACAATTTTAAACACATTGTAAAAAAAAGAGAAAAACTTGAGCAAGATGAATCTTGGCACAGCGAACCCTCAGTTAACAAACTTAATTGGTTCCTGCCAAAATTTCGTCAACCAAATTAGATTTTCCAAATTAGAGCTCAACAGAGAACCAATCAATCAGTTCCTGGCACCCGAAGTACGATTAAAAATTCAATGAAAATGTTTTTGGAAAATATTTCATCAGAATGAGTTACTGTAGCATTCTGTGTACGCGTACAATTTTTATAGGGTTGGATGGGAGTACGCCTAATTAAAACTACAACACTCAGAAAGCTTCACATTCAGAAAAAATCACAAATAAGTAGAATAACTGCAACCAGTAAATGAAGATTTTCTATCATCAAAAAGAGATGTCGCCCCAACATCTTGCCCAATACAAAAAGAAAAAAAAATCAGACCTATTCGAGATGGTGTGACGTTTCAACTCCTGTCGATTAAAAGACGCCAGGGCACACAGCCCTCCATAAATAGCAACGTTGTTGGCGGATAACAGTTCCGGGAAATCACAATGGTCCAGACTGGCCTGGAGGAAATGCTTCGCTGCGGCTTTATACTTCTTGGTGCACAGTTCAGCCAAACCAGCTGCGCACCGCAATTGAGTCTGAGTTACCGCCATACTCTCCTTACGCTAAAGAAAAATCTATGAAAATTCCGCAAAAATAAAAGTATTTCTCATTTTAAAAATTACCCCAACTTCCGACAGCTCGGGAGTGGACTCGGCCTTGTTCACGTAGCTCAAGACGTGGGACCAGTTTTGAAGGTAAACGGCGACCTAATGTGAAGAAAATTCATTGCAAAGAACAATAAATCGATCATGTTAATTTCTGATACACACAAGCCACTAGAGACTAGACCAATAATAATAAATACAGTATTTCCTCAAATTTTGAAAGCAACCAAGGGTTTACCACTCAGTGAGATCATGAACACTGTACTTTTAAATTTAGTTCGAAATATAAAAAAAACCTGGCACTCATGATGAAAAATAATCCGAAAATCGTTTTATGGGTCTAGTGCAGCGTGAATCACGTAATCTATTTATTTTTATTTCATTTGTTTGTACCTTGATGACGTTCAAGCACATATTAATAACGTGTTTCCCAGTAGTACAGTAATCTCTGGCCCGGGAATAACACTTCATTGCGTTCGTCAAATCGCCGCAATCCAGATAATGATCCCCGAGATCATCGTGACCACGACGAATGCTTTCCTTGATCGAATTCGATTTGTAGTTCTTCAAATCAGTGTCCAGTTTCTCCAATTTCAACGCGGCCTTTTTCGTTCGAGTTTCTACCCACGCCGCGTCGTAAGGAGGGATCGAAGCCGCGTCCGGATTCGCGGCCACCACGTCCGGCGGGGCCCGAGGCGGGGCGGCTGCTAGGGCCACATCCGGCATCAGTGCTTCTCCGTCGTTCGGGTTCTCTCCAGAGGGACCCACTCGACAGGAACGGTCGCCTGATGAGTCCGCAGCACTCACACCAGCTCCGGAGGCCCTAGATTACATAAATCGTAGGACGAATTAAAACACAAGTTCAAGATGAAATTTTTCCTTCGATCGGAAAAAAATTCGAGCTGATGTTAATATACATAATTGGCTTATTAGAAATGACAGGAAAATAAGTTCAAGACAAGCGAATTCACGGAAAAAATTTTCAGCTGAAGTGAAATGTTTCCTAAGGAAAACAAAATAACCCGATTTAAAAATTACTGAGTGATCAGTCACTATATCAACTAAAATTTCAGTCATGAAAGGCACGAATCAACAACGAGGGATGGTTACGCAGGGTTTTTTTTTTTTTTTTTTTACATAAAATTCTTCTAATTCGGATCGTATTCAATTTTCATGGGTCAAATTCTTTGAAATCATCAATTACGAAAATTGAAGCGATTTTTTGTTCATGCGCTGGGGATTATTTTCAATTCCAACCTCGACTTCATAATCAAAACGTGAAATTTTAGGAAAATCCTCGGTCATCAACAGCATTAAAAAAACTGTCTGAATTGCTTCTCTGTTGAAGTCCAACGGTTCTTTTATTGGAAAATAGTTGTCAAATCTGGATAATAATCACTAAGTTAACAATAAATTGAAGTATTTAACCGGTCAGAAAATTCATGAAACACTCAAGTCTAGGAGATTTTCCATATTAGAACAGGATTTGGTACATCGCAGCCCTGAGCGAATAAAGATTCGAAAAGCGGTCAGGAAATCATGAAATATTCCTCTGCAAATTATGCCCAACTCCGAACACTCAAGAAACAGAAGAATGAGAAAAACAATAAAAAACAACTCTTGCATGCCCACACAAAAAAATTTACACAGACCATATACTGCATATACAAGTTGAAAAACTAAATAAAAACTTGACGAAATTCTTACCCTGTGATGTCGACCAATTTCCGATGAATCTGTTGATATGAGAGCACATTGAACGTCGTCTGAACATTCACTAGTGCCATTTTCAAGGCGTCGATCCGAAGCGAAGGACAATGATCGGCAATATAGAGAAGCCTGACGAGGCGGGCGTAACCAGTGTAGGAGTTGGCATACGTTTCGAGATCAAACGACGGGTTCTCCACAACAAAAGGTTGCTCCACTTCTTCGTTGTTCTCCATGGGTTCATCCACCGGCGCATCAACCTGCATCGGCTCCACCGCAGAACTCTACACACAAACGAAAAGGAACGTTATTACACTAGTCTTATTCTCCTGGCACTATACCTGTGGCTCACGCATAAATAAGTGTGGCTCACGCATAAATGGAATTGCATTTGGTTCGTCCAATTTTCGCCAAAAGTTTTTGACAATCAAGCAAACGGATAATTTTATATTTTCTATGTGCAGGGAATAAACGCCAGCAGGGTGACAACCAAAACGTTTTCATCAAAAAAAATATTTCGAGCTTTAAAAAATTCTTTTATTCGTGTTCAAATCATGATAAATATGAGACATCGTAAACATGCCGCATTCTTCAAAATTCATGTTTTCCCACGCTAGAATCTCTGGAGTATGGGTCACACCAGAGTTTTCTTGAGGAGAAATTTGGCGCATACTTGGATGAAAGCGGAGCACGATTATGATTATCAAAAACAATGTCAACTTGGTCATTGTGATCATATTTACGGCATTGATAAAAATAATCTTTACATTGGTTACATATGAACCACCTCAAGAAGCAGCACATAAAAATATAAATGGATTCTAAGATGCATCATGAATTTTCGAAAGTGAAACTAAATAATTGTATACAGAAACTGGCGTACATCCGACATTGACCACCTCTCATGATATTTAAATTTATACTCAGAGAAACTAAAAATTTACAACAGGATGTAAGAAACGCGTAATTGCAATTCAAAGTCACTTAGATCGAACATTCACCTGCAGGAAGGAGACGGATGCGTTCAACGGCATTTTGATACCTCGCGAATCACAGCAATTTTTAAACTTCTCTGCGTAAAGAAAAAAACGAGCTTACAGTATGAATCTGGAACAAGATATTCGAATGTCAATCACATGCGGATTCTTCGTCACTGGAGTCACCGAACAAGGGAAAATCTGAGTCACTGAAACACTCATGATTCGTATGAAGGTATGAAACCACGTCAGAGAAATTCGTGAGCGCGTTAAAAACTTTCCGCTGTGGTTTTGCATGCCATCGCTGGCACATGGACATCAAATGATGATGAAACGTGTTGAATCGTCGTTCATAGCGGGCTGCAAAATTACAATAGTCCAAGATACAGTTCGCAGGAGTAACTTCACATTCCGACACGAATAACGCTGGATTTTCCAACAAGCCTTCCGCTATCATAACTCCTGCAAAAATAAAATAAAAATAAATAAATCGTCAAATTCCTTCTGAAAATTTTTTTGTGGAGAGGATAAACTCACCGTTCACTCCTGTGCGGCTATGAACTTCATGCACATCCTTCAAATTTTTCATTCCACCATTTGCGATCACGGGAATGCGCAAGGATTCTTTTATTGTGGCAATGGCTTCCAAGTTTGCGGGCTCTTTGCGCTGACTCGTTGTTCTGCCATGAACCGCAATGAAATCAACTCCGGCATTCTCCACGGCTCGACAAAAATCGATGGTTTTCCTGCGGGAAAAAAAACAAGGATTAGGATCATCATCAACTTTCCATTATAATACCGTAAAATTCCCCAACAACGAATCTCGTTATAACGATTTTTGTCCCACAACAAAGTCATGAAAATGTCTTTTTAACAGACTAATTCTTGCCAATAATCTCAGGGTAAACATTTTTTGCGTCAATTATGTGTGCTTGGGCCATAGGCATTTTTAATAATGGACAAAGAAACTGGAAAATCCAACTTGGGCATCACTGAAAACTGTCCAATAATATAAATGCAAATCTTCTTTCTAATCCACCCTGAAGATTAGGATAATTAAACCCAGTATAAAAACTCTTGAAAAGAACATGAGCCACATCTCAAATACCACGCTTAATTATTACAGCGTTTTTTTTTTTTACTACCCCGGGCAAAAATTCGAGTAATGCGCTCACATGCAAAAAATGTTCACGTAGTTTTTCCCAAGTTCAAAAATAATTTATATCCTTCACGTCCACAACCGTCCTGCCGAAAGGTTGACAAAAATATCAAGAAAACAGCAGAACTCAAAATTATCCGGCCTCTTAATACGAGTCATTGGGAATAAATAGAAAGGGTCTGCACACCTTGGTTCACCTCATTTCCCTCGTTTACACTTCGCGGGATCATCGATTACTGTAAGCACATATTATTTCAGGTCTTGCTTCTTTTCAATGGCCATATTTGATTATTTCAAAAAAGGCTCATGATCACGAATTCCAGGAGTGAAACTGATCTCAAAGAAAATCCTTGAGGGATCATCGAGCTTTCACGGATTGAATTAAAATTCTAACGCCTACTGGATCTGAATCTCAACAGGTAAATCTCACCGAAGATCCTCCTTAATCCTGATTTTGATGGAAACCGTGAATTTTTCAGGTAATGGCAAACGTTTGACCGCAGACACCATGTCCGCGACGAATTCCGGTTTATTCAGTAGACACGCTCCAAATCCTTTTTTGGAAACCCAACGCTGTGGACACCCACAGTTGAGATCAACTCCATCGCAAACCCTGATTTATTCAAATGAATACTATTGCACACATCAAGTGGTCACGCAAGAATTAAATCATTCATGTGTGCAAATACAGGCCGCAAACGCAGACATATATCTTATTAAAAAAAAAACTACACACTACAAACAATTACAATGCCTCACGAGAAAAATATGGCCTGTGCATGAAAAAATTCCCCTCAACAATTTCTTCTTACATTCAATAGAATTTTCATCCTTGAAAAATAAACCAAAAGCAAGTTACTAGCTGATCATTGCTCAAAAAAAAAAAAAACTTTCGACGCTTCAAGGGTCTTGAAAAGGGTCTTACATCCACCTTTAAATTCAAGTCGGCAAAAATCCAAGAAAATCCATCGAATATAGGCAATTTTCCTGATGTCAATAGCGGTCTACACACAATTATTTTAAGAATACTCCCCGACAGCCTTTTTGAGCGAACTTTTGACGGGAAAAATTGTTTTCAGTCGAGTAAAATAGTTTATTATCAAAAATTATTTCACAAATTTTCAAAAAATCACTCACACACCCTGCAATAATTTCCGTAGCCTTGCTGAATTCAACAGCGTCAGCAGCTCCAAATTGAACGATCAGCGGTCGGTCATCTATGAACAAACCCTAGCAAGATTATTCCCGCACTCGACGAAAGATTACAACATTAAACTTCCAAGAAATACATAACCAGTTTCGACGAGAATAAAATCCCATTTCTCAATGGTTTCCGATAAAGCTTATTTATTACCAAAAATGTATTTCCCCCAAGGTCAACTCAAGTTAAATGAAGTGCTTCACAAACCTGGACTTGTAGCAAATTCGGCAAGCCTTGCTTTCTCAGATCGCACGAACGGATCGGCAACGATCATGGGAGAATACGCAATATCACAACCATATTTTCGCACCAACAGTCTGAATGGAAGCCTTTACAATAAATAAACATTATGAATACCAAGAGGACATAACAAAACGCAATTTTACGTCAACTCACTTGGAATATCGCACCATTGGAGCACATATTCTCGCGATAATATCAGGATCGGTTAAAATATCCAACGGGCTTCTCACTAATTCAGAACTTTCACGATGACACTGTGAACAAGTCATGATGCACCGGTAAATTCTGTTTATGATAAAAAGTAGATATTTAGGCATGAAACGTTTCAGCAAATGGGGAAAGATTCAGGACGATAAGAAAAACTTTCTTTTTCCCGGCGAAATCGGAACAAAAAACACATTCAGCTCCTGTAAATGAAATCGTGAATTCTTTTCACAGGGTACTTCCAATTTCGTGACATTTAGAACCACAACGAAACCTCACAGCCAGCTCTCGGGGGATCCAAACCGCGATTTCATAGCAAGAATTTCAACACATTTAATCAAAAGATACACATGGTTCACATTTGATTCATATGGTCAAATAAACCTCTATTCAATTGAGTAGAACATTTAAATTTACGCGTCACCTTTTTCAAAATCTTGACAACCAGAAAAAAAAACTCGAATATAACAATATTGCAAACTTGAGGTTGACTTGAAAACATGAACTTATTCTCTCATGCTTGCATCGTGAATTATTTTCATCGCTGAATATTCAGGGAAAACCTTTCATGAAGATACCTTCCATTCTACTGACACAAGAAGCATGAAGTATTCACAACTTGAACCGAAAAGCAGATTTCGCCCCAGCATTATTTCAAGAAGAGAGGTCGTAACTTGAAAAATTATTCCGCTTTTGCACAGATTTATTGAAATTAAGAGACACATTCAACAAAAAAACAACCCAAGAAAAATGGAAAAAACTTAAATGAAAAATGCATTCTTGGTTTTTCACAGTGCTCTCATAAATATCGAGACTCGAGCACAAAATCTCATAAATACACATGACGTAGTGACGAAAACAATCGGATCACTGAAAACTGCACGATTTTATAACCACAAAAACTTTTTTCAATTTGTTTCATCCGTGTTGTTGGAGTCCCCAACTCCTGCTCCCGACATTTTTAGTCGCTTTTTTCCTGTTTTTGCATTGCGGAGAAAATCCCGCCAGCGGGTGTGATCCAAAGTCTCGAATGAATCCAATTCAGCAATGAGAGTCAAATACTTTGCCAAGTACAACAACTCCTTGTCAGTCGACCGGTTGAAATGTGCATCACGGAATGCTTTGATTTTCAATCCACTCGTGGGGTTCATCAAGAAGTTGTGGCGACAATCGTCCAGCATGACTGTATTGTGGGGGCCATATTGGGAGTATTTTCCCCAAATTACGCCCAAGGGTTTCACCTGATCGAAAATAGATTTATAGGTATGCTTCAAGCGTGAAACACGACATGGACCCAGGAAAAATCACCCGATGATCAATTCAATGATAAGGTCAATCGTATGCCTTTATGAAAAATTTGTTTTATGCTTTCACTTTGGAAGTGAGCAGATACATTTTACTGCGGTTTATTTAGTACAACACGATTCAAGTAAAGCCGTTCGAACAACTTTATTCGATTTTAAACCTTCCATGCCTATATTCATAGCTTACTCAAATATGCAGATTAATTCGTGCGCGTAAGAGAACACAAAAATATTTTCATCGAGAAAAACAACTGATCCCCGAAAAATTCCTCATCCAATGATTTTCCTGAGGCGCTTATACTGTATCTCAATAGTTCCGGCGACTGATAAGTGTGAATATTCGCGACGAAGTGCTGAAGAAACTTACATCGACGACGCCGTACTTGTCAGTCAGTACGGTTATCATCGCCAAGTCATCCATGTAGGCAAGAATTTTGTAGTTAGGATTTGAAACTACTCGCAAGAGTTTCATTTTTTCTTCGATCCATTTCATACTTGTTGCGGACCAAATAACGATGTCATAAACCTGCCGGAGAGTTCGACGTCGTTCATAACTTACGACACAGAAATGTAATTTAAATTAAATGACTACGAGACTCACCAGGTAACAATCCGTCAGAAATTCGTGCAGATATGGACGCATAAGTTCTGATCCTGTCTCCCCAGAAGAACGATGGTCGAACAAGGTGTAATCGATGTCGAGTACGAGCAACTTCTTTCCTGGTCTTGGTTCATTCAGCAGCTTCACTTGGTATTCCCTAACGCGCCGAGCCACTTTCTCGAGGAAAACTTTCCTATCTTTGATCTCCACGTCCGCTTCATCAGGAATATCGAAATCATTGCTAACCTCCGGAAGATTTTCCGGAATAGCTGCAGCCAACTGAATACAGTCCTCACGAGAACCCATCATCATTATCTTGAATCCAGGTTTAAAGCCAATAGCTGACAAAGTAATGTCATCGAGAGGAGGCTTTCCATGGTGCTTCACGTTCAACAGCTTCTGTCTTTCCGGGAGAACGTTCGTTTCCGCCGCAATTTTTTCTTTGAGGTCAAGCACTGTCTTCTCTTCTTCAATTTCGATAGCGTACTCTGCTCCCGCCCACTTCACGGTTAGACTCAACATAATTTTCTCTAGTGTCCAGATAAATTTATAGCCTTCTCATTAACCCGTCATATTTTACAAGCGTCACACATCAACCGCGAAGTACCTACTGGAGATAGCACTTTGAAGACCTCGGTATCACATCACATGCCTACTGTTCGAAGAACAGCAGTAACCTCTTGAAAGAATTTAACACGGCGACGGCTTACACAAACGGGTCAGCGAAATCATCAACACCTTCAGCTGTCCAGGTCAATCGCGGAACTGCAACTTGCTCAGCAATCTCCGAAATTCTGTACGTGCGCAGCACAAAAGGAGTGCCATGCTGAATATCGTAGTGAGAGGAATATACACAGAGCCAAAGCAAGGGCTGAGCTCGTACAGTGCAGGTTTTAAGCCAATGCTGCCCAATTCAGAAGTAGCCAAGCGGGGCCAAATCCATTTCAAAGGTGGAGTCCGTACGGGCCGCATCAAACAATAGCTTTTATTTTATCTCCTAAAACAGATGCAGAAGAAAGCTGTAACAGAAAAACTCATCCAACACAGCGAACATGGGACAAATGAAATGCTTGTCACCATAAAAAAATTAATAGTTGAAATACGTAGGATAGGCTGCTGATTTTTTGCTCTGAATACCTGCCCTCAACTATAGTTATGGGGTTTCTTCACAAGCAGGAATGAGTGCTGTAAAACCCTGTCATTTGCTTATCCTTCATGATTTTATTAGTTGAAAAATCCCACGACTCAATTGTCGTTTTATTCAAAGGTCCAACAAGCTAAAAATTTCCCCTGTTTAAATTAAAAGTTTAGAATTTATTTCAGTGCTACGTTTTGAATTACAATAATGTAGCTACTGAATATGGCATTTTTTTCAGGGTTAAGCAACATCTTAAAATTTACCCACTCCTGGTTCTGCCGCCTTGAAAAAAGAAGGGAAGACAAAGCAGGGTGATGTTTCTTAGTCTTTTGTTTCAGCTTTTGCGCCATGTCAGCACTGTTTTATATAGTAAGACACTGTACTCTCAACTAGAATTCAAGAAAAGACCTTGGGTAAGCTTTTATAAATCGCTCAAGTATACATTTCCAGAAACTTTCCCATAACAGAAACCACCACAAGCACACTAAATCAACGAGTCGCACTTCAACAAACCCGCATATCAAATAAAAAAAGATCCACAGACAACTGCTCATTTACCGCCAAAAAATCACACGCATTCATTGTCATCATTCACTAGAAAAAAACCCACCCAGAACACTTCTCAAAGCGACAGAGAAACATCTTTATATGCAAAAAAAAAAAAAAACTTCGCTGATTCCCAGCACAAACGGACTTCAAGTGCGTTTAACTTTACCGAACCGCCGTCGGCTTCCCGTTTTGACGACGCTTCGTTCGCCTATCCTAGGTTCTTCAGCTGTAACTCGATTCTTCCTAGCTGTCACTCGTCGGCTTATTCCTTCATCATCCGCTTTCACTGGCAGCCCGAGTCTTCTCTGGAAATCTACCAATTTACCCGATACTTGTTCTGAAAAAGCACGGACAGTCAATAATTTCGCACGTCATCTCTTCACTTGACGCAGGTACCTGGACAATCGAGCACGACCCAAAACAACATGGCTGTAACCCGAAAAACGCAAGGGTAAAAGATTTATGCTCGGAACTTCACGAAAATTGATCAAATATTCTCGAATATTGCGAGCACGGAGTTGCCCTATAGATTTATAGAAGACCAAACTAGCATGAATAAAAAAGGATTTTTTGACACTGAAAAACTACAGGTACTTCGTTTTCTCATTATTTTCGCCATTTTGGGACGCATCAACTGACAAGTCGAACGACTAGGTACTCACTGGCTGGTTTAGGGCTCACTTTTTCAGCCTCCGACCTCGTCATGAAAACCACTCGCCTCGATTCTGCAGAAAAATGAGAACATAAAAACGTCGTTCATGCACAAAATATCGGAAACTCACCTTTGGCTTTTCCTCTTCCTCCTCTCTTCGCACTGCAAACAAGAAAAACAAGAACATGGATTAACGCATGAAAAAACAAACAAACAAAAACAACAACAAAAAAACAGAAGGCGATTTTCTCCAATAACCTCAATTTTTCTTGCCTGGACAAGGCGAAATCAAAGGTCAATTTTAAAACTGGAATTCTACAAACCGTTTCAGGATCATTACTAAAGCATAAAAACGCTCGGGAAAGACTGAATATTATTCCATAAATAGGAAATGTACTTTCAATGAGTTGAAATGCAAGACTTCTGAAGACCAACCCTTCGAAAGTATAACCAAGACAATTTACAGAAGGTAATTTATTTTTTTGCAGAATGATTCGGACTTGCACTAATTGTTTTCTGGTGCTCGAAATGGGTGACCCTGGTCTAGTTGTCTGCATGAAAACTGACGGCCTCTCAAAAATCGAAGGCGCTAAATTTTGTTATACCTTTTCGTTGGGAACACTTCTTCCTCCGGATCATCCTCAATCGCTTCATCATTTTCCGATCCAACAAAAAGCTCTTCGTCTTCCTCCTCCCGCGATTCTTCAACTAGGTTTTCATGGGTTCGGAGAAGCCAGGCACGTCTTTCATCGATTACATCTTCATTCTCGTCTTCATAATCACTCAACACCGGCTCAGATTCATCTTCATCAGCAGACACGAAATGCCGAGAAACTGCGGCGATTAAAGGTACAACAGGAACTTCTTCTGCATCTTCTAGAACTTCTTCCGGTGAATTCCGTTGCTTCTTCTTCTCTGCGAGCCTCTGACGGAGATCCAAAGCTTTCCTCTTCTCCGCTAAAAATTCAGAGGGCAAAAAGTTAAAACGGACGAAATATGAAATTTCACGATTGTGTTCGGAAAAAAAGGATTGTAGTTTTCACAAAATTTCCACAGCTGGTACTTTCGAAAAATGAGAATAATGGGGAAAAAAGGAGTCAAATTTTCTTGAACTATGAGATTATGAAATTCCTCAGAACCGGACAAAATGAAAAAAAAAATAAAGACTCACCCTTTTCCTTCCTCTTCCCACCAGGAACAAGGGCATTGACAGCAGGACCTTGTTTACACTCGTCATCCTCCGGAACTTTTTCGTTCCTTTCAGAAGGTTTATTGCTACTACTTAAACTAGTAGCGATCGGCAACTTTATTTTCGTTCCGGGCTCGGGTTTCTTGACCGCCGCCGAAGCAAACTTCAAGCGACGCGCTTCAAGCACCGCTCGTTCCGTCGGCGACATTTTGGCTAATCGCTCCAAATACTTCTGCTCCTCATCTTCGGCTTTATTAGCCTTTTCCCGCTTTCGGGGTGGCGGGGATCGTCGGGGCTCTTGCAGCTTCTCACCGCGACGGGATGGTGAATTGTGAGACTGGGCCTGAGACGGCGGGGAACGTCGCTGATTGGGAGACGGTCTTCTTGGTCCCGGTGGGGATGGCCGCCGTCTATTGCCTTCACCTCTGCCGGGTCCGTCTCGACCCCTTTTTCTTGGTCTGTCGAAAATCAACATGATCACATTAGGAAAATTACAAGATGTATTAGTATTTTCTTTCTGGTGCTTGGATGCCAACCTTGAACTGAACTCTGAAAGTCTGAACAGTTTTTCTCACTTCAACGCCGGTTATTCCTAGTTCAAGAATTAAATTCATGATCCTTACACCATAACGTCTGACCATCATTTTCGAAATAACGTGCAGGCGACGCTTATATCGCAGACTTCATCAAAGATGAACCAAAAATCCGACATGACCTGACAGTTATCTGGACTAACCTTAGGAGGCAACCCAACGCAGAATACTTGACAAAATCCAATTTTGAAAAACTCCTAGGTAATATTACGTCGTAAAACAAAGTAGTTTGGCATCAGGCGTTCAAGTGAAATATCTGCCAAAATATTGTAATACTACACAACATAAACAGATTTACAGTTGAACCTCGATAAATCTAACTTCCCGAAGTCTATTTGTCAAGTCCCCTTCTGAATTCGCTTGGAAAGGATGTATTAAAAACCTCCCCAACTCGAAGGCTTTCCTCCTCATATTTCCATAACTGAAATTTTCGGGAGGTCTTTTGGTGATTTTTTTCATCAAAACAGAAAACTGAAGAGAAACATAAATGTAAGTTATGTAACTCGATGTGTTTTGAAAGGAAATGAAAGACTAATTAGTCAAATGAGCCCATACGTCCAAGTTCAGTATCCTGTAAACTCTTCATGCAGCGATTTAGGGCCAATAATATCACCAATTAAAATCGCCTGCAATACTTTCTTCCTTCTACAAAAATACATGTTTCCCCAACTCGATATTTATTTATTCATTTTTGGTCTCTTGAAGAGACTTGAAAATGTTTGACTGCATACAAAATGACTACAGTACTTGGTACACAAGAATGGGAGGACAAGAAAAAAAAACTTACGGGAAATTATCCATAGGTAGGGAGTTGCTCAAGTTATTCAAAGAAGGAGGAGGGGCTAAGTTTTCTCGTTCCGCATGCCGTCGCCAGTCGCGCTCTCTTCGACCATTTTCATCGTCGCTGCCGTCATCGAATCCTGCCAATGCGGCAACACCAACTGCTCCACCAGCGACATCTCTCGGTAGCGACCTAGGAACATGAAATATGCTCACGTGAAATCTTTCTCCGCATATTTCTGCATGCTCAAACGTTCCTCGAGTTGCCTTGGGACTTGACGTTATCCACTCTAATATTATATAACATACCCTCCATCCAAGACAAAGTCTATCTCCTAGGATACGGACAATGCGGTACATACAATTTGAGACAAGGCCAATTCAAGACAGTGTCAGTTAGAGACGGGGTCAAATAGATTATTAGAGACAGCAAAATAAGACTCAACCTTAACATCCATCTTCACCCCGATTTTTCTCCTAACCTTTTTCAAAACCTTTAGAACACATCGTTTCTTTATCCCATGTACAATAAAATTGCTCGATATGGACAAAAAGAGAAATCAAAGCAAGGAGAAATTGGTTTTTTTTTTTAAACTTGACAAAGAAATCTCTTGTGCGCATGGGATATTGCATCAATGCATAATTATCCCACAGTTCTTACAATCAATGATATGATCCTAAATATAAACAGCATGAATCACGACACAGAACTGATATAGCTCACATGACTCTCTCAAGCAGTCCCCGTCTCAAAATGTTCTGAAATGTCTCCAATAGTCTCTCTACCAAAATGTTTCTGTCTCCAATATTCCTTGTCTTGAATTGTTTCCGTCTCGAATTGCTGTAGATTCCTATCATACTGAAGGTGAACAACGTTTCCGACTTTTTAATAACGAAGATCAGTTATTGAAGAAGTACTTCGAAGCGTAAATTCATTCTGCATAATCCTTGTAAAACATGCACTTTTCCTTTCAAGAGATGAGTTCAATACCTGGACCGACTCCGATGCCGCCTGCGCTTCCCACCCGGAGACGCAGGACGCCTCCGATAATCATGATGATGCGGGTCTCCGGGACGCCGTCGTCGCAACGAACCACCTTCTTCGTCCTTCCCCGACGGCGGCCTCCGTTTCTCCACTTTCCTTCGACGCCTAACAGCACGCTTTCGTTTCTCGTCCCGCTGAACACCGCTTCTCGACGAAACCGGCTTCTTACTGCTCACTTTCGAAGGATCCTCCACCACGGATTCGCCTTCAGCTTGCAACTCTTCCTCGAATTCTTTCAAGAATGCGCCGAAGTCGTCGTCCATCAGGCCTTTGTCTTCTTCCTCTTCCGTGGCTTCGACGGCTGGAATCGCATCCGACGTCCCAGGTGCCGCAACGGCCGTCTCCGCGTTTTCCCCACTCTCACCAACGTCTCCCGCAGGCTTGCTTTTATCCACTGGTTCGACGGTCGCAGGTTCAGGTACATCCGAGTCCGTCTCGTACGACGTGTAAGACTCGTACTCACTATCCGACGAACTATCGTCTGCAATTTAGGATTTTTGTTGTTGCGGGTGATGAATTGATAAATAACGAATAACACACCATTCAACTTACAGTCTCGACTATTTCGTCGCGATCGTCTGTTCGTCGCACGGGCTTGTTCTCTTTCTCTGGCTTCCTGTTGAATAAAAAAGCGCACGTATCAGCAAGGAAAATTCAGTCAAACCTCGATAAGCCGCAAACATTTGCTTGTGAGGTTTGGGGCGGTTTAACGGGGGTTGGTGGTTCATCAAGAAAGCTGAATTAATACTAAAAATTAGGCACAATAGGAAATAAAATTAACATTCTAGAAAAAGATCAAAATAACCCTGGGATTTGTAAATCCCATCTCGTTAAGGTTCTCAAGGATTAAATTTCCGGTAAGTCTTCCGCCAAATAATTGACAGGAGCACATTTGAGTTCTCAATAATGTTGGTGCATGACGTCTTCACGGAGTTTCCAATACATTCATCATCAGGGAAGATTTGTTTTTCAAAATAAATTGACGGTTGCCGAGGGTGTCGGCTTCTCGAGGGGCGTCTTGACGAGCTTTGACTAAGCGAAAAATGTCGGGCGTAAACAGAATCACGCATCTTTAAATGTAAAATCAAACTATTGTATACTCAAGTAGAAAAATGAAAAAATTGGAACCAAGAATAAGCCCATCGTGAAAAAAAAAAAAAAAAAAAAAAAAAAAAAACACATCGTACCGAGATTTTCTCTACACCTTTCGAACAAATTACGACCATCTCCAACCTTAAAAAAAAAACGCCATAGTCAATGAAAAATTAATTACCCGTTTCTCCCGTTCTCGCGCTTGCATTGATCTCAATGCGGCTTCTCGGAGAAGCAGAATCTCCGCATCATCATCGTCGTCGTCATCTTCTCCTCCTCCTTTGTCATGTACGACGGGAACTTCTACACCAGGCAGCGCTGAAACGTTGCCACTATTCACGTCTTTCGCGGCGCCGACCGGCGGCAATGGCGGCGGAGGCACGATTATCATTCCCGTTTCCGGGTCATATGGCGGAACCGGCGGAACAACGTCACTCATCACCTTAATTTTATTACGGGTTTCGAATACATTTACTCGAAATACGCCACAGTTCCCGACCAATTCCCTGCAAAAACCAATCGATCGATTTTTTCATACACCAATGCCAGCATTAGGAATTAAAATCGTAGGTTCTTCAGGCTTTGCAACAAAAAATTAAGAAACAATCCGGGAAAGGCGCAAGAAGTTCAATCATCTTTCAATTAATCACGGTCTGAAAATCTTCAAAAATGTTTTTGGAAAATGAAGATTACTGTATTTACTTGAGTAGCACGCGCCCTCAAGTAAGGCGCGCACAGGGGGTTTTCAGTTGGAAATTTTGCTAAAATCTTATCCCTGAGTAAGACGCGCATCCCAATTTTGAGTAAATCTGGAACCACAAAATTTGAAAATAAAAACAAAAAAATTTATTTTACACATGAATTGAACAAAAAATCTGATCAATTTTCAACTTTTTCAGTACAAAAAGTTTTCTTGCTACATTTGTTCCAAATTTCTCCACTATAATTGAGTATAATGCACCCATAGCTTCCTAAAACTTCTTAAAAAATTTGTACCCGCTTATGACGCGCACCACTTTTTTTCTTCCAAAATTTGAGAAAAAAGGTGCGCGTGATAAGAGTAAATACGGAATTAAGGATTTCTTGTCTAAGAAGCGGCATGAATTCCAAGTCCAAGAATTCTCAAAGTCAATAAGACTAGGATTGCAAAATAAAAATTAAAAGCAACTATCTTCAAGAATAACTAAAAGGGGATCACCAAAAAGAGTTCCCAGAATTTCAAGCAAATCCAATGCATAAAAATGCTTAAAAAGATAAAGCTTCAAATTTGTACACAAATAAAGCCTAGAAACTGAAAAAAAATGATTTTGAAGTAGGCACAAACGCCCTAATGTTATAGAAATCGCCAAAAATGTAGTAAAACTATTAGGAGCAAATTTCAAGCCACGAGAAGCTGATTTCAAACACCATTCGCGTCAATTTTCACGCGATACACAAACTCCTGTAACGATTTCTTTCCTGCAATAAATGATAATGACATAACAGTTAGCTTCAAATACTTTCTCTGAAAATTTCGAGCATTTTCAGAAAATTCGAATGTTCAGATTCGCGTGTATTATTATTCCATTGCAACTCAATACGACTTTCGTCAAAACATATACAATTCCAACGCCAAAAAAAGAAAAAAACCTTGGGCGCATTTTAATGATGATGAAGACTTCCGTCGGGTAATTTCCCCGTATTTTCATCTCATACCCTCGGACGCAGAGAGAAAAAACAATCACACGTTTTAAATGGGGCAGCGAATGAAACCCGATTCCCAGCGTTTCTAGAATTGATAAAACACGCTTTTTCGAAGCACCAACTCAAACATAAGCGAAAAAAAGCAATATGACGAAAAAAAAACACATGCAATTATATCTTGGGTTCCCCACTCTCGTGTTCATTTGGTTCAACTCTTCTACCTTCTGCAGCCGCCGCAAGTAGTCAAGCGCCGGAAGGAAATCCGCGTTTCCGAAAAAAGAAACGAAACGCGCTCAAGTACACAGGAGTCTCTTGTCTCAGCATTCGAACTTTTTCGAGGCAAACCCGCGACAAACAAACATTCTCTCAATTCGGCACTTGGCTATCCTTTCTCAAGTTCTCATCTCGAAAACAGGAAACGATCAGAAAAAAGGGAAAAATAACGAAGGAATGCGCAGCGAAAAGATAAACTACGAATCGAAAAGACAAACGGCGTGAAATCTTGCCTCGCAGGACGAAATCAATCTTGAATCATATTGCTCAGCGGGAGAGTATTTCCGAACATCAACTCACTTTCTTTCTTCACAAGAAAAAACAAAAAAACTCGTCACACTCGTACTCGAACATAATTCAAAACAAATGTTCCATCAAACGAGGGCCACACGCTGAGCAGAATCAGAAGCAAAACACAAATCTCACTTTAAAAAAAGATTCTCCTCACTCCGTCTCTCTCTCTTTTTCTCTTGAGCAACCAGATGGACTTCAACTGGTTTCCACGCAAACACAAAGACTTCAACACAGGCCAAAAAAAAAAAAAAAAAAAAAAAAAAAAAAAAACCCAACAAAAAAAAAAAAAAAAAAAAAAAAAAAAAAAAAAAAAAAAAAAAAAAAAAAAAAAAAAAAAAAAAAAAAAACGACTCAGCAAATGCCACCACGAATGAAATACTTGTCCGCCTATCACTCGGTCGTCCACGCGCTCGCAATCAGCACCCTCTTACTACAACTTGATCCACTCATATGCAGAAGAAACAGGAGACAAAAAAAACCCGCCATGCAAAAATTCGGAGCTTACCACAAATTCGCAGGATTTCCGGGGATTGTCCCAAAATGACTCCCAAGAAGTTTTACACCAATTCTCCAGTTTTCCAATATCGAGTTTTGAAGAATGAGTGCAGATTCCGACTCAATCGAAGAAAAAAAAAAAACTTTCCCCAAACACTCCCGAGAATCTAAAGCAAGACTCCTGTTTTTCTCCAAAGACTTTTCCCAATACGATTAAATACACGACCGCGTCTCATCCCTCGACACCCGTGAATTCTTCGGCAGTCATGTATCGAATACCAATACAAAAAGGGGAAGAAGAGAAGACGAGGAGAATGTAGAAAGCGAACGAAGAATCGTCGCAACAGACTCACGACGACACCACGTGTCGCACGGCCACATCCGGCGAAAAAGCTCGTCACCAATTGGTCATTCCAGGCTTGTTTAAAGTCATGAAGTAGATTTGACTCGATGAGCCTCCTTTGGCTGAGGAAAAGAAGACCTACGAAGAAAAAGGAATCAATAAACCATTGCGAAAATAATTACTGTACGGCTGTATTTTTAATTGAAAAAGATACCCAAAAAATCATCTACGGAAAAAAAAAAACTCAATTCGTGAATCTATAGGCCACAACAAATTCATGAATGAATCCTCTCAGATTTGTATGTAAAGACGACACTTTTTTTTTTACCTGCAACGCCAAAGCCACGTGTTACACAAAATTGAGGCGACACTCAATACAGTAATTTTAAAAAGCATGACGCCTGGGACTTTGATCGTTGAAAAGTAATTAAAAAATTCCTACTATTCTCGTTCATTTTTCAACTTATGAATTTTCAAAATTTCGAAGGTTTTGAACGCTCCTCAGAATTCGAACTTTCTGAGACATGAATATGAAAAAGACGATGGACAAAAAGAAGAAAACAAACCTTATCGTTTCGCTCGCAGAGGAATTTGAGGCGCTGGGCCTTCTTGTGCATGAAAACGCCGTCCAGACTTCCGGTGTCGACTGCCCGGATCTCGATGGCCTTGTTGCCCCAGCCCATGATCTGGCCCGTTCCAATGTAGGCCACCGAAGTGGGCAACTCGCCCCACTGCAACGTCACGTTTTTCAACGGCTTCCCCATCGTGTTCACGTAGATTCCTTCGTTGTCATAACACAGCAACAACTGTTTACCCGACGAATTCGGCAAAACCACGATACAATGCGGTACCATGGCGGCTTGCACGTTTTTCGGTGTATACACGTCGTACACTGCCGCCGAGTCCAAGTCTACTCCGTGAAATCCTTCCGCTGATCCGTAGATAACCTTCGCAGAGCGAAAAAATCATTCAATGACAATAAACAACAAAATCTCGTTACAACGATAATTAAGTTTCAATTAAAATATGCAACAAAATATCGTTACAACGATAATTAAGTTTCAATTGAAAATATAAAACAAAATCTCGTTATAACGATGCCCTCGACACCAGATAAGATAGCGTCGTTTCAACAAAAAAGTAATTATAAAATACGGTACAGTACCTCAACTAAAATCATATTTATTGAACAGGGACCTAAAAATTACTTTGTTGTAAGCAATTATTCTTCAAAACGAGAATAGTTGTAGCAAGATCCTACTGCATATACTGTACATATTACTATAAAAAAATTACTATTTACCATATTTGCTCTAATAGACGCCTTCTATCTAATAGAAGAGGCCCGTCTCTTATAAACGCCTGGTCACAGAGGGCATTTAAGTGAATAGTAGCCGGCTTCCAATAGTAGCCGGGTCCAAGAAGGAAAAATTCCCAGAATTTTCTTGACATAAAAATCCTTTCTGCATTTTGACCCTTCCTTCACACCTTGGTCTCAAGTATTAAACAAAGAATTCCTTTCCCTGCAGCATTTTATGAAGCATTCCTGTCTCGGTTTCTAATGAACAATGGCAAATCCAAGCTTCCCCCAAAATTCATTCTCCTGATTTCCCCTTTTTCTTCTCCTCTTGTTACCCATCAACAACTGCTGATTATGATTGCCAGTATCTATTAAACGCCTGGGGAAATTTGAAAATTGCAAATAAACGCCCGGGCATTTATTGGAGCGTATACGGTAATTATCTATTTTAAAATCAATTCAAGTTATTGCCAAGAAACCTGAGCAATTGAATATAGTATTGCTTAACTCTTATTTCTTCAAAGTACTGTACGGTGAGACAGAAGCGTACATACCCGCAAAAAATAATTTTAACGTAAGATATAATTTTTTACCACGGCATTCAATTAATCTTGGAAATTTAAATATGCTACGTATTTTGTCGAGTGCCGAAATTATGAAAATATTCGCACAGACAATGTCCAATTATTATGTAGTTCAACATACGATAAAAAATTCAATCAAGCATGGAAATGAAATCACACAAAAAGATCGTCTCTCACAACGCCTGAAACCTTATCCGAACTCAAAATTTTACTCTTCACAAATTCCGCATGAATTCTTTAGAAACCCCACCCCCCCTTTGATAATCTTCTAGATGAGCCTAAAAAGATGCTGACCTTCAAACGCGACCCTTCTTCAACGGTGAGGTGTACCAACAGCGGTTTGTGAACCAAGTCCCCAAAGCTCTTGAACGCCATAAACTTGTGGTAAGGCCTCGGGGCCCAAGCGTAGATTTCGATGCTGTCTCTCAAGGCAATCACCAGGAATTTGATCCGCTCATAGCGCACAATCTTGAAGTGCACCGCGCCGTTCAAATCTCCCACATTTATCCAACCATTTCGACGCTCAACCTGGCAATAAAAAACAAAGAGGTATGAAAGCGTGTACCAAGAAAAAAAAGGGCGAAGAACTAAAGCGAAGTGTATAATCTCACCTGTTGTTGGTCAATGCGCAGAATCTTGGCTTTGAGCCATGACAAATAGTAGACACGAACACGGTTTTTCTTGCCAGAGATGGTGACCAGGATATTTTGTCCTTCCAGCACTTCCATCTGCTGAAACCGTCTTCGGCTAATGAGCTGGTAAACTTTACCCTGACCACTGCGGTCCAGCAACATTAGACCACTTTCCGTTCCAATCAACAGGTTCACCCCTGTGAAAAGAAAATAAGAGCCCATAAAAATGCACTTCAAGAATTACGAGAATCCTTGAAAAGGTGTTCAAAACGTGGAGGCGCAAGGGAAAAACTTCAGCGCTACTAGTGTTCAAAAGAAACGCCTGTTCGAAAACACTGCATTTCTTGCTTCTTCGGAAACAGGATTTGCAATATCTGTTCATTTCAATCTTCCAGGAGTTGCAGTTATAGTACTTTAAAGCTAGCAGTAAAACGATAACATCGATAAACCACTCGTTAGATACTACGTAAATAGTTTATTCAACCGTCAAATCAGCTCGACTTCCGCATTTTTACGAATTTAGGCATTTTAGATGCGTTTCAAATCTTTGGTGAATCACACACAGAATGGGCTATGAATACGTCATGAAAATTCAAAGAAGCAGCTTGGATCAGGAAAAAACCTCGTTCCAATATCCAATTAATAATAAAATCCCCTTACATGCCACCAAAGCCGTGATCGAGGCTTCAGAGATAGAATTCAGAGACAGTAAAATCTTAAAATTCAACAACGACTGCCACTGACATCAAGCCACAAAAAAAAAAAAAAAAAAAAAAAAAAAGCAAACTCATTGACGACGAAGATTTCATTACACNAAAAAAAAAAACAAAAAAAAAAAAAAAAAAAAAAAAAAAAAATGCAAACTCATTGACGACGAAGTTTTCATTACACAAAGAGTTCTTACATACACAACAAAAAGGAAGGAAAGAACGAAAAAGGTTCATTACCCCAAAGCGATGCGCAAAGAATTTCCGAGTTGAACCGCTTCTTGTATTTCCGGATTTCCGGGGTATCGGTCAGATTCTCGTGGACAGAAGTTGGCGTCACGTTCACACTCACATGAGACTCTCGACGACTCGGCGAATCGGTGTTGCCCATCAACACCGTCGACCCATTCGAAGCTCCCGCACCAAATCCAAATGTGAGGAACGACTTCTGCTTCTTAAAAAAGAGAGAGGGAGAGAGTAATGGCATTTCAAAATTAACATCAATCGAAGCCTTAGTTTGAATGCAGCCTTTCCCGTGAAGCACTAACATTCGAATCATCGGCAAGAGCCTGTGAACAGATGACGGATTACTACAAGCCGAAAGGGGGAATGACTTTGCATAGCGTCCCAATTTGATTTTTGCAGAATGAGTGATTGTCCCTGAATCTTATCTCCTTTACTCAGTTTCATAGTGACAGCATGAGCGTACTGAATTTCCATAACTCCTTTCGCGAACTCCAATATTGGAATCCCGCTACCCTCGGCTGATCCAAAATGGGCGCCCATTGAAAGATCACAAAAGCGCAAACTTCACACTGTTACAGCAAGTCTCGTGCGTCAACGTTAGACAAAATAATGAATAATGTACTTGCTGTTCGATGAATTGTTTCTTCGGTGAACTCGATCTTTTGTTGTATAAACCAGTATTCCCCAACCATTTTGGGACACGCGGACCGGAAAATTTCCATAAATTTATTTTGCGGACCAGCAAATTTCCCGAAGGATTGGTCAAGTTTCATGAAATTTTTGCAAACTCGAAAAAGTTCTGCTTGAAAGACCTAATGGTAGGCATTTCAAGAATTTTTGAAAAAATTAAGAACCAATGAAACATCTATATAGTAGAATGTCTTAAAAAAATAGAAATGTCGGCTTGAAATGTTTCTCAGAATGAAAAAAATTGAATAATTCATTTCAGCAGGTGTAAATTTGTCTGAAGTGGTATTAGAAGAAACGTTAACTTTTATTTTTCATCAAATAATTTCAACTGCCATCGTCTTTCCCACACTTCAGAAAAAGAACAGACCATGGCTACTTTTGTAAATTCATTATACAGTACAGCAGAAAATTTGCCGCGGACTGGCAAAAATCTTACGAGGACCGGCGCCATGGGTTGGGGAACACTGGTCTAAACAATTAACATGCGAAACCATCAACTAATGATAAGCTTTGAAATGCTTATTTCACGCTTCACTTGTGCTGAGACATCGATATTTTATATCTCCAATTCATTCAGCAAACAAAATAAATCAACGAACGTGCATACAAATAACTACTGAATACAGCACTACCAAATAACAGATGTTTCCCCAGGCATTCCTATTTAATAGCACAAACCTCATCAACCAACGAACGTTCGACACGGTTGCTGCTGGATCCTTGCGGAAGCAAATCTGGCAAAACGGTCGTGGGTCTGTCTCCGCCCTGCAAGAAATAGAAAAATAATGTATCAATAATGCATAAAAACTGTTCCTATATTTATTACTAAAAAAACCACACGCTTCCTGATCTAGGCGAGCACGCAAAATCACTCTTCCAGTTCTAAGCAACGAGGGGCAAAATAATTAGTTCAGGTTATTCTGCATCAAAACCAATCGAATCTGCAAACGAACTAATAATTATTAAAATATCGAATGAGACAAATCAAGATTCCTTTTTTTTTTTTTCAAAATATCTTCCAAGATAGGTTGTAATCTACTTATGTAATGGGAAAGAATGCACACAAAATTCTCAATTGCTATACAATTTATTTTGTGGGTATGAACAGTAACATCAAATAATTTTTTCAACTCCAGAGAACTTGAGTGATTCATTTTTATCCATCAATTCAAACTTGACGGAAAACTGAAACTAAGATATCGCACTGCAAGGTTAAAAAAAAAAAAAGAAGAAACAAGAGGCAAAAGCACTCGCACACGTCGTTGTTTAGCGCAAGGCTCCAAACTCTCTGCCTCGTCAGTCAGCAGGCAAAAAGAAACATATCGTCAGCGACCAACTTGAGGGACTTGGAGACGCTGCAGAAAACTGCCAGTCGATTCAGACTTGCTGAGTCTCGCATTACTAGCAGAGGAACTCCTCGGTTTCCGTCTCGTATTCAGCACAATGTCCAAGTCGTCGTCATCAAGATCAATGCTCGCAGTGTTCGTCGACTGCCATCGAGGAAAGTGTTGCGGACCGAGGAACAAAGGGATCGACGGCGAAGAGTCACAACAAGAGCTCTGCTTTGTTAAACGCTGCTTCTGATGGCATTCCTTTTCGTTCTCGCGTAAAAGCTTCTTTGCTTCTTCGTTTCGTCGAATGTTTTCGAGTTCGTCCGCAGATTCCGTCATTGGTCGTCCCACGGGGTTTTGTGGGGGCAACACATTTTCTTCACGCGACATTTTACCTTCGTCATTTCCTTCTCGAAAAGGAACCATTTTCGCAGGGGACCCGGAAAACTCGCAACTCCTACAGTGCGAAATTGGATTTTCGGCGAAACTTTTACCATTCGCAAATTTAAGCTTTTCATTGACTTCCTTGGAACAGCTTCGCGCTTTGAATTTATCGATAATCCTTTTCGAATTTTCGAGTTCTTCCGAGGATATGTGAATACTCGACGAATCGGGTTTGAATTTCCCAACAGGCATGTCCACAACGGTCTTGATAACGGGAACAGTTCGTTTTTCTTCTTCATTCGATTGTGCTCTCGAGTCGCTTCCTTTCCCTTCAACAATAGTTTGGCAGCTGACAGTGGGGACAGGTCTCGCAAAATTCGTCGGTTCTTCAATGACTTGCTTTTCAAAATGCGAATTTTCTTCCCTTTCCCCCAGGAACATCTTGACAAAGTTCCTGCGTCGATCCGCAACTTCCCGCAGTTTTTCCACAAACTCTTCCTCAAGCAGCTGCTTCTCAGACGATCGCTGATCAACAGCAACGTTGTCGTAATCCCCAACAAATCGCGACGACGCTTTTGCGCAATCGACAGACTTTCTTTCATCAACATCATCCTCATCGTCACTTACCCTTCGCAACATGAGCGTCGAACCCGGAGCAGCTGGATCTTCATCCGGCGTCGGCGGCAACGGACGATTCGGCGCTGCAATACCGGCGCCACCTTCAAACAGCGCCGCCGACAATCCCTCCGGCGGCAGCGGTTTAGGCGGCTCGGACGCCAACAAGGTGCCGTCGTTGGTGCCGGAACGCCGGCCACCGCCGAGACCCGGTTGAGACGACGCGGAAAGGCGGCTTTTATTCGCCATCTGTTGTTCTTGGAGTGGAGGCGGAACACCGCCGTGACGGCGAGGCGGCTGTTGTTGCTGCTGTTCGTCGTCGTCGTCCGCGTCGTCGTCGTCTTCATCCTCATCGTCCACGTCAGCGTCGCCGACGTAGCCCCGAGCCACGGCACGGTTATCGCCACCTGCACCCAGCTCATTCAGCTGCGCGGCAAGAACGTCCAATTCCTAAATAAAATTTAAAAAACAGCGATTTAGAAAATGGAAAAAGATTTTTGCCACTCATCTAATCGATTGCTCTGGAACGGATTTCAGGAGGACTCTCTCTAAAACGATATTCTCTGTATAACGGATTTTTTATGTCCCGCAGGATTCTCTCATGTTATAGGAGTTCTCTACAACGAAATTATCCGTACAACGAATTTTTTTTGTTCCCTTAATTTTGTTCTAGACGGAGTCCATTTGTCGTCTTTTTCATCCAGCTGAGCGATTTAGAAAATGGCAAAGATTTGTTGACACTAATTCTATCGATTGATATAGAAACAATTGATCTTTTTCATATAACTTCACATTACTCGATTAAAATGCCATTCTTTTCGTATAATGGAAATTCCTCTGGTCGACGAACAGGTAAAAAACAGCAGGTAAGGAACAAAACTAACTTACACTGATTACACAAAGAAAACATTAAATGGAACGTCAACAACTGCACAAATAAAATTTGTTTCGAAAAAGTGATCTGAGACACGAGCACATTCATGTTTTTCATTCGTAAAGAAATTCAAGTTCAATCTTCAAACATGAAGTTGAGGTACGATCAGAAGTGACTTAAGTGACATAATACAGGTGGACTTTCTTCACAACGAAATGCAGGGGACCAGAAAATAATTCTTTGTACTGAGAATTTCGTTGTAGAGAATGCCAGTGTGACTCAACAACAATTCGTTACCCAGAGAAATTCGATTTAGACAAAATCACTGTTGAGAGTCTACCTCTATAATCTTACGAAAACATTTACATCTACAGCATGAATTACAAAAAGTAGCATTAATACGTTTTTGGCGATGATCTTCTCGAACCGTATTTCATGAAAGAAATCTACCTACAGCTGTCGAGAGGGTCCCCAGCTATCTTCTTAAAACAGACGCATTCCCCGACGATTTTTCAACATTTGAAATTTAGATAGCATTGCGGTCTAGTCAATTACTTGAGAAAACACGACAGCCTTGCTTTTGTCTTTTTTTACAGTTTAAAAAAATTAAATTATCTCCATTTTTCAAAATGCGGACAGACCACACCAAAAAGATAGAAATCAATTCCGCGCTTCTCCTGTGGAAAATTTTCACGATGCGGAGAACTGGTTCACAAATTTATTCATTCAGCATGTTGAATTACGCAAAATGAGACGAATCTCGATGCAAATAAAAAAAATAGCTAAAAATGTAATACCATGGTTCATCCGACTTGTAAGCGATTCGAAAAACTTCTGAGAACGCCCTCGTAACATCGATAGCACACGGAAAAATAATAAATACAGCGCCAACCTCCAAACACATAAAAACGATGCAGCCAAGTCAACACTGGCGCAAAATTTATTTACAGAGCTGAAAGCCATCGTTCATTTTTGTATCGGTCGCAGTAAACACAAAGAAATATATTCCAACCATCGCAAAAAATTTTATTTTGAAAAAAAAAAGAAGCTCAACCAGCAGAGAAAGTGAAGAAGTGGGCATAAAATATTACACTTTCGTTTTTCTCTTAAGCTTTCAGATTTTCCAGACTATAAAACAGATTGCTGAGAAAAAATACGGTAACCACTTAATCTCAGCAACAATGGAAAATTACACAGATTCTACCGAGAAAACCTTACATCATTTGTCAACAAGCCAACAAAAACGAGGCATACAATTAAAAATTAGTGTGTTTCTCGTCATTTCTTCGCGATCACCGCGAAGTGATTTTTTCAACGAACGAATGATAATTTTAATTGAAGATCACGCACAAAAATTCGCTTAATACGGTTACTTTTTCAATTCCCAAGTTTCTAGATTTTGTTAACCTTGAGAAAGTGCGCCAGTAAAAAAAAAAGCTAACAATGCGGAAACTAGAATTTTCCGAGAAAAAAAAATCCTCTCGAGGTTGAGTCGACGTATGAGCATTAAAAGTCATACTAGTATTAAAAACCGGCTGGATTGAGAGCAAAAAGCGTATTTCTAAAACCCCAACGGTATACAGTACAGTACTCGTAAAGAAATTCCAACGAATACATGTTGAATGCTTCCTGGACATTTAGTTTTGAAATCCCCTAAATTACCACATTAATATAAACGTACTGCAGTTGGAAATACATCAGTAGAATTTGTCAAGTTTTATTGATTCATGTCGCCCATGAGGACGTTTACGTTCGCAAAGAAAAAGCAATTCGTATTCAAGACAATTTCCTGGAGGACAGACGAAAGAAAAATTGCGAAACATACGTCTCTCAACTTTTTCAAAGCCAAGTCATAAAAATCCTCTGCTTGAACATAAAATATCTACCACATCACTATTATTTTTCGAATGCATAGGGAAAACTTTCAAATATAATTTAGATGCAATAACACAATCTGACTTCTTCGTCGTATCTGACTAACAAAGGGCTGACCTCTTAGAAACATTTTCGAGTCGTAGAAATCCTTGCCAGCAGGAAATCAAAATTTATAGCCACTATAATTTTTACGATACAGCAGTACGTCAAAAATTGAGCATCATATCGTCAAAACGTGATGTGAATTTTGAAAAGGTTTCCAATTTAAAGAACTACCGTAAAAAAATTTCCATCTCAAGCTATCCACTGAGTGCGACATTTTCATTTTATTCATTTATTTTGTGGAGGTACCGTCAACTTTTATCGCCATCTCGGTTAGTTGCCATAAATGAATCAGGAAAAATACGTTCAGCGTCTTATTTCCAACTTTTCACACAGTACTCGGATCAAAAGTAGGGTCGTTGGATGATCCGATCATCCTAAATGAATGTCTGAATCATTTTGAAAACATGGTTGATGAAAAATAAAAAAAAATTTGACCATCGGAGCATCACTCGTTTCCACTTCCATCCACTACGTCACTTGGGGGTTGATAATCTTTTAAAATTTCCCCAGGAGACTAAGGGCAACGACGTGTCAAAATTTTTTGGACAGAAATCTCTTTCAATGGTGACTCAACCATCAATGATTCACAAATGGCTCCAAGTTCAAATGAGGTGCAGTAGATTTAAATTCGAAGTTCTCTTTTTTTTGCCCAAAACTGCTCCGTAAAGAAATTGACAGGATGCTGAAATTGGAAACAAGGGTTCATTTGCCCAACAATTCTTTCATTTCCTTTTAAAAAAGCATCATGTTACATTTTTATTATCTTTCTGGGTGATGAAAATAGAAGCCGAAAAGCCTCCCAAAAATTTTAGTTATACAGACTTGAGGGGAAAATCTTGGAGTTAAAAGGAATATTAATACAGTATATTGATTCTGAGGGAATTCAGACTTTGAAAATTTTCAACACCAAGTCAATAGGTTAAACTCATCAAGGTTCAAATGAAGGGACATTTTTCTAAACTGAGCGTGAAAGTGAGTCATCTCCGTTTAGAGGCACTATCAAGCGAGAGCCATAATTTGTCCTGCCTCCTGAAACATTTTCTGCCACAGGGATAGACCGTCATCGAAAAAAAATACTGTACATTGGGGCCCCGAAAATCGGACGATTCGACTTAGCTTTTCATAACCGCAAAAAATTGAGTTTCAACATAAATTTACAATTTAAAACGGGCTATTTTTTTCTTCAGTTATTCGATCATCTGTGTGCAGTATGAGGAAACTTTTGGTTCGTCTTTACTTTTTCAGCTCCTGTTCATATTGAAAGATCAGATGTCACATTTTTTATGCACACTTATATTGTGAATCTTGAGGTTGAGAGAAAGTATTTTATTCAATTTTTGGGAAATTTTCCCAATTTTTGATCGACAAGAGAATCGACTACAAATATTCCCATCAAAATCTAAAGGGAAACATGATCCGACATGCAAACGTTTCGCCGTAGGGACGACGTTCGCATCTCGGGGCCCCGCACTGTATAGTTGAAAGTACGCGGCTAAAGTCTTCGAAAAACAACAATAATGCACAGCGTAGCACACAATAACATACCTCTGGTCTTCTGCTTCCACCTTCTCTTGCTTGTGCAGCTGCTGGATGGAAGACTTGAGAGTTTCTTGACAATCGATGTTGGTCCTTGCTTTCTACCGGCGCTCGTTCTTGTCTGCGATGATGGTCACGCATTTCCGCGCCAGGTGGAGGAGGCAATGGACGCTGCGGCGGCTCGGGCACTGCAAAAATCAAATCCAGATCCGAGAATTATTCATGAAGCAGTTTTTTTCCTCTCTTTCCAAACGGGGCATTTATTGCCCCCTTCACAGCTGGAGCTTGAACAGCTGGGGCATCACTGGACAAAACAAAAAGGAACGGCCTTTTCATGATGTGTTCAGGTTTCCTTAACAGTACCTGCCGTATATAATTTTTTTCGAACAGAAATTCCCGTTGGATCAGGAATTATAGTGATGAGATGAAAGAATGTGATACAGAACTATAATAAAGGAATGCATGTATTCTTTTCATAATCAAGCACAAAAGGGAAGAACGGCATCTTGACAATCGACAAGAAAATACTGCAACTGAATTCTTGATCAGCGTTGAAATAAACTCAAAGGGATAATTCCGAGTAGTTCTAATATATCCTGTAGTTGTCAATAATATTCACCATAATCATTTTCTACACATTTCTCCCACCGTTCTGCACGTGAATATCAAAAACTTCGATAAATTGAGTTTTCATTTCAAAAATAAAAATAATACAGGGATTAACAGATATCCACCTTCATTTTTTGCGAAGACGACCGAAACGGATTTTGTAAAGCGCGTACGAAGTACAACTGGTCCTGTTTTTGTGGATTGACCTTAACACTTGAAGAACTACGGGGCAATCGATCAGTTGTTTCCTCCGCTTTTCAAATCTTACTCTCGCGAGCATCGCCATGATTTTATCTTGACCTAATTTAAACCTAAGGCGAGCTCATTAACGTGATACCTGCAGTACAGTGAGATTCGAGACACAAAAAGTAGAAATTTTCTAGAAGTTAAGAATGTTGGCCAAATGAAGACGTAAACGGGGTAAAAACAGAGGAAGAAGTGGTGGCACGATCCAGAAAGCCGGGAAAATAGGGGGGAAAATACGCGGCATCCCTAGAGAAAGAATTAGTCTCTCTATTGTGCGTTGGATTAATAATAATCGATGAATCACACTAGGATTTCGCTTCGGGTAAGGAGAGAAAATAAAATGTCCCTCCATTTCCCACGTGTCATACACTTGCTCTTATTGGGATGATGCCAGAATTCACACAGCCCACCTTCCTTCGAAACTAATCCGTATTTATATGGTCATAACCCTGAAATACCGCATTCACGGTTTTGTGGATCTGCTAGCGCTTGATTCAGTAAAAGAAAAAAAGATCAACTACAAAAATGTTGGTGGAGGTGAAACGGAAAATAAAACCGAAAGTTGAACTGTTCTACTCACATGGGCGGCTTTGAATCAGAAGGTTCGGCTGCATGGGCGTCCTTGGAGTCGCTTCATCTTTCCTTCGATCCTGGATCTGATGGAAATTCCTCTTCAGTGTGTCACCAGCCGGCGAAGCCGACGTCGGGAGAGCCGCCGCGACGGAAACAGCCGCCGCAGCTGCTACAGGAGGCACCACGGCGGCAGCAGGCACCACCGGCGGCGACGGTACCATGGACGACGGCCCACCAGCAACAGCATTCTCGTCGTCTTCGTTATCTGAACAGGAATACGGATAGTCGTCCCGGTCTTTGTTCTTGTGGCGACGAACTCGGTCAATGTGGTCCTTCAGCTGAATTCGAATCTGCTTCTCTGGCGGCTGGTCCCGGAGAAACGGGTGCTTAAGCAAAGCGTCCGTGTACGGCCGCTCGTGATAGTTTTTCACCAACACCGTGTCCACGAAGCTAAACAACGACAAAGAAACACGGAATGTTTCACGCAGATAGGAATACTCGCATGAGTCAGAGGCACACACTCAACAATGCGCGTCGTGTTTTATTTTTTAAAAGAGAATCCGATTTTCCATTAGCCTGTTTTATACATGTAAGCAGTTTTCACATCCATTTCAACACTCGGAATTCTGAAGAATGCTGCTTTCGACGGGATCAAGTAGTGAGAGCATTTCGAAAAAAATTCCGGAAGATCACTTTTCTTTTGTCATATAGCTGACCTCATTCCATCGCGAGCTAACCAGCACAACTAGATATCTATCACAAGATCAAGCCTAACCGAACATACAAGTCAACAAACAACCCAATTTAGATCAAAACCTATTCAACTAACGAAACCTCCGTCGAAATTTCTCGAAATTCCTCAATCAAAATTTTACAGCAAATATATTGGACGAGACAAGAGGCAATAATGGAAATAAGGTTTCTAACGTCTGCTTCTACCAATATCCCATTGATTCCAATGACAATTTTTTCAAGATTATCCAGACCATCAAATTGAAGGAACAACATGGTTCACGCAGGGTCTTCAAAAAATGCATGGGTTGAGAAAAAAAGAGACCAGAAATTTAGAATTTTCCTACCATCTTAGGTCGTGAATTTCTTCTGAAAGACTGAACACTTGCAAATTTCGGTATGAATTTCTACCAGAAGCATTCTAATGCTAAATTCCATAGATAAGTACTGTACCCTGTCAGTGTACTGTAAACACCTCACTCAAACCCGGTAGAATTATATTTAGAACACATGAAACAAATGAGATGCTTTTCATAAAAAAATAAGTGAAATGGACATATCACAGCGCCAAAATTAAGCGACTGAACGACCGCGTTCGATTTTGAGACGCACTCCGAATTTGCGGAGAAAATTTTAAATATGCAATAAAAAAAAATTGCCAAGCGCAAAACCCGACCGATTTAACCATTAAGCAGTAATCGCGTTTAGTTTGCGAGATTCATTTGGACTTAAAATGCTCACGGATTTAACGAGCTCGATCAAAAATACATGAATTAAAACCTCAGCCAAACGCCTGAAGAGAAGAAATCTACCGGGCTTTTGAAAGCTACAAATTTGAGGTTATGATGACTAAAAACGGTGCTTTCATTCTAAATCAAACTTGATCCGGGACACGAAACTGAACCTCAAATATGACATACCTGTGAAACTTTTTGGACCACTTCTTTGGATTTTTCAAACGCGGAGGAGGATTCCTTGGAATGAGGAACAGAGCTCTCATGGGATGCATGTCACACAGTGGTGGCTGAGCTTCGGCCATTTCCAGAGCCGTGATGCCCAACGACCACAAATCACTGCGATTGTCATACGTCGCGTCTGGGTTCTCGTCACACGCAATCACTTCAGGTGCCATCCAGTAAGGTGTGCCAATGAAAGTATTCCGCCGCCCGATAGTTCGGTCCAATTGCGCACTCACACCGAAATCCACTGCAAAAAGTCATCAGTAAGATCACGCGATACCTTGTCGGTAGCTAAGACAACGCTTACCAAGTTTAACCTCTGCGTTATCTGTCAGTAGAACATTTTGGCCTTTGATATCGCGATGAATCACTTTGTTTGCATGTAAATGAGCTAGCCCGCGTAGAATCTCTCTACACACATATGCAATCCATTCTTCTTTCAAAAACTGGCCCTTTGTCGCTGAAAGTAAAGTAAATTAGAATTCACTCAATTCGAAGCACAATCCGTCAGATTCATAAAATACGTTACTTTACTCTTTACTCACATTTAACCAAGTCCGTGATCGAACCGGCACCGCAGTACTCCATCACAAGCTGTAAAAGACAAGGCCAAAATGTAAGACGTTGCCACGTGCGGCATTTTTCAACAAAGGCAAAAAAACTTACCCAGAGCTGATCATCTTTACCGGGTGGACTTTTTCGTATAAAAGCTCCGTAATACGTGGCAATATTTCGATGATGCGAGAACTTCTTCAGAACGTTTATCTCAAGCTTTATTTCCTCTTCTTCATCTTCCGTGACGTCCATAACTTTGATGGCAGCGAGCTGTCCGGTTTTCGTATGACGGCCTTTGTAGACTTGCCCATACGTTCCATTGCCGACTACCTCGATGAGCTCGAAAATGCCCGCAGGATCCTAGCATAAACACACAGTGTAAGATTAATGAACGTCTTACGATGCCGAAGTCGTGAATACCAACCCGAAGAGCTCCCAAGTCTATGTCATCCAGGCTACAATTGACACTCGGTGACATTTGAGCCATGATGATCACGCTACGGCTCCGCGACTGCGGGTTCGCAGAATCGTAGCGGTTCGAACACTGCACGAGTCTGAATTTTCACCGAAACAAAGCAAATATTATATTCCGGCAATTGAGAAGTCTGAACCGTTCGATGGATTATTCAAACATTGCACAAGTCTTTGGTCCGATGGAAGGCACTGGGACGAGGACTGGCTGGGAACACACAGTCGATAGCTCGGAAAGCGCGCAATTGTGTTTCATCAGTTGCACGAAATTACGTTTTCAAAACTTTCCGCATGTTTGTGACGGGATTTCCAAACATTCACACGGGGAATACCCTCCACTCATAAGTAGGGCAGGACTTCGACAATGCAGTACAGTATTCCACTGTACTCACGAGGAGCAACTATTACATCGGCAGATGAATGAGCAATGAGGTACACGAAGTTTCACACTACAAGCTTTGAACTCTCCGGCCCCCACGGCTTGCCAACGAAGTCTGGACTTCAGAACATTTCACTTTCTTATTTTTTTCATTTACATCAGCGGTTTACGTGAGGAGATGATTTACCGTCAAAGAAGTTCCTCCGGTGAGAGGTGAATGAAACATGGACTCCTTCGTATTTACAATGAGACATACATAGATGTCGCTCGACTGTAAAACTCGATGGTTCCTTCGTTGGGGAAGCATTTTAGTACAGTCCTGTTCTGCATGCAGCTTGGAAAAACGCAGAAGCAATTTTTCATCGGTTCATTATTCATCATCAGTGGCCACAACCTGTACAACAAATAAGGATAACTCAATCCAGAAAGGCGAGAGAGGTGTGTGATGAAGAAACTCAATACATTATACAGGAGTTCTCAAAGCATCACCGTTGGCGCCACATCTCATCAGTCCTCCTACGCTGCCTATTACGCAACTATGCAAGACATTCGCTGGTGTTGAGGCCTCGCTAGAACAGAAAAATTAGCAGTCATTTGCGCGGCTACGATGAGTCACGCCCGTTCCACTTGATTTCCTTTCTTTTGAGAGACGAATTCGCCGGAGATTGATCTGAGCCACATACATTCAATTAACCCACCCTGCTTCATTGAGATCAGATGTAATAGAGGCACACTTGTACAATATAGCTACCGCCAGTCTGTACTTATAATGCACAGGCTTTGCAGAAATGGATTTCGGATATGAGGAAGAATTTCTATACTTTGAATTATGTTATCATGTGAATACTTTTTATGAACTTTCTCTTAGGATGTACAGTAATTTACTTTCCAAGTGCAGTACATGTCTGTCACTCTATTCAAGCAGCACTCCACACTCATATCCTAAATTAATGAAGTAAATCAAACACATTGAGTTTTTCGTGCATTTTGAATTATCTACATAAACCACTTAAGACTGAAACTGTATGCCGATAGTTATATTGAAAGATAGCAACATTGAACGCCCTCCTGCATGAACATTTACTATTGTAATTACATGAGACATGTTGCGAGAGTCAGGTACTGTATGCATCAAGCAAGAGTGAGATCATGCGTTCAATTCTTTCTGGATATTGAGAAAAAGTGGATCCTTGACGAATGACAGCTATAATTCACAACAACTATCAGAAGGATTCTTAAATGAATTTATTCATTGGGTTATTTGCAGAAACATTTATAACACAACGATTGTTGCTGAGACATATAGGAATAATAATTCCTGTACCTTAAAAAGCTGACCCAACAGAAAAGAAACTTCTCACCCGAGTTGTTCAGAACAGTTTTATAACTTCTTCCAGCATTTATTTTCAAACTTCGGAATAAAATGTCAACAGGACCATGTATTTCATGAACTTTATCTATGGAGTACCTAAATTGAGACATGTGAGAGTTGAGTACCCAAAATCTCAGTCCCGAGTCAAGCTCAAGGGAATGTAACACGGATAAGATTATTTCAGAATACGACAGAAATCCGTCACAGAATGCAAGGCAGCATTCCACACCTGAAACACTACCTCATATGAAAATTAGTCAATCAATCAATGTCAAACCGAATGATTCAAAGGATGTCTTTCCAGAAACTTGGGACGTATATTCGAGAGTGAACATTTTTCTAAAAACAAAAAAACTTTCGTGAACAGTCCCAGAATTCAATGATCAGGATTTCCCGAGCCTCTCACAAGAACATTCTTGTCATCAAAATAAGACAAATGAATCCGTACACACCAATACAGCAACTGAAAGGCTCAATGCTTTTTTGTGCTGAAATCATGGCGGTCAAACTTTTTCTTAAAATATTCGCTTCACGCAAGTCTTGAGAGTACCACGTTCGGCATTTGCTTCCCGAGCCTTTTCTTCAAAAATTCTGAGCAAAAATCACAGATCTGGCTGTACACCGTTAGCAAAAACTACACAACCATAACTTTGATTTAAACCTTCGCTTTGTCTGGAATTATGTTTCTTCTTTTTTTTTTTAAAGAGGTAATTCAATCAAATCTGCACGAACAGAGAAGCATACACAGCAGTTATCCTGCTAATCATGGACCATATGCGTTCAGAAACATGAGAGGGTTTGAGCACGCAGCTGACCAACACATTCTTTGATTGCAAATCCCATCAAATAGATCCATAATGCTTCACCATAAGCAACAAAAAGAAAAAAAAAAAGACACATTTTACCCGCTTGATCCGATGAAAAAAGCTTGCACGCCTTCCAAAAAGTCTGCAGGCGCCGTTTATCACCGACTTGCAAAAGGATTTCACGGATCTGACGCTAGGTCAACTCCACCTCACTGGGAATGGAACAACTGGATTTGCCGGCACCGATTCAGAACATGAGTGAATTCCCAGACCATAATCAATTTGAGCACTTGAAGGAAAAATGTTTCGATTGTCCTACATGATCCACAAGGACGAACTCTTTTAAACTTACGCTAGAAAACTCTGCACTCGGGAATATTTGTGAGCAGTGAAATATTACGTTCTGGGAATATAGACTTAGAACTGGGTAGCGACAAAAAAGAAATAAAAACAATAACTTAACAAGCCCCGCGGGATTCCCGAGCAAAGACTTGACATCATCCATGCAGACCCCTCAAATTATCTTCACGCTTGCAGTATGAATCTGGTTCCCTGTAAGACAAGACCAGGTTTGAGTGGTAACCACTACCAGGAACCATGACATATGTCTGTTCATAGGCTTCCTGATGACGCAAGGCATGGGGAGAACCAACAGGATGCCCGTCCTCATCTTTTACTAACTGCACCGATGTTGAGCTGCTCAGCGGAACCATCACTACTTTCCCGTCCTTTCCAGTGTGCTCCAAGCCATACTTGTACGGACTCAAACGATTTCCATCCTTATCTCGGAGTTGCTAAAAGAGACAAAAAATCAGGTACATTCGAACCTCCCTCAGTCAACTTCAATGGGCCAGCAAAAATTCGAGATAGGAAAACAAACATTTGCGTTGAAGGAGAAAGAGAGAATTACAGTACAGCACATGAAAAATAGGTGATATTCTATCTAGACATTCAATTGCTTCTTAAATCAGTTGCGAGGATGCTGACCTTTGAGACGAGGGTTTACTTGCCCCGTTATTCTTTCACTCCTTTTCAAAACTAATCAAGATATACTTTTATTGCATTCTCAATCCTGTGACAATAATATAATAGCCGAATGGCCTCCAGAAAATTTCAGTCACGGAGGTTTGAGAAAGAAAGCCTTCGAGTCAGGGAGGTTCGATATAATTCATTGTTTCGAAAGAAATTCCGACAGGAACTCGGCATTGTTCCGAAGTACGGAAGCATTCGACTTATCCAGGTTTAAAAATGTTTAAAGATTATCTCCATTCAAAGGCCGAACAGCTCAACCTTTGAATTAAGCACCCGCTAAAAAATTAAATATCAAATTCTTAACATCTGAAGAACGGTAAAATGTTGATGCTTTCATTTTCCACCCAGAAGAAATACAATACTTCTTTATGAAATTGTTCCCTCATAATATGAAACATTCGTTAACGGACCTCCGATTCGAGAAATACTCAAGTCGAACTAACTTTCTCGTAAAATTTCCCAAAAACGACGAGAACACAGAAATCCAGGCTTTAAAAACATATAACCAACTAAATTAGACTCAGATTAAAACCAGGAATTGTATTGAGAAAACCGGTAATGAAAGTCAAAATGGAAAATCTTCCAAGATGACGAACAAACCTGGGATATGTGTAGATAAAGGGCTGAGTATCGACTTGTAAGCTGACTTCGACGCTGTTGAAGCAAAAGAAGTTCCTGATCATGTTGCTCTCTCTTCGTTCTCAGTTGAGTCACAGTTTCAGAGAGAGACACGATTTGATCTAATTTCCGCTTTCTACAGTTTTGAGCAGCAACCTGTTCGCACAGAGAATAATGTGACGCAGAATATCAACGGAAAAGGGCATGTTCACAAACCTTGTTTTTCCCGCGACGCCGGATGTCCCTAATCAGCGACAGCTGAGCTTCCGTCAGATCTTGTTTAGACAGCCGTTCGTTGAATTCATCCATCGGTAAGTTGATTATTTCCTGCACAGGAATCGGAATTCCTAGCTGCAATGCTCGTTTTTCATCTCTGCATGCTTGACTGTCCTCCTTCGAATATCCCTTGGAACCTACTGGCAGAAACGGGATAAATAAATTGCTCAGTAAACCATGCGGAATGTCTCTGGCCACGAGGAAATTCTCAAGTATTACACTGTACCTGAAGAACTGCTAAATGCATCATCATCACTCGTGCGCGGCGAAGCTGGGCACCATGAAGAGTCATCCCTGAGATTCGTTTTCTTACTAAGATCGATAGCCCCTTCTGTTTCTTGCTCTGCGGGCGAACTATGGCCCGAAATGAGGGAGGCAATGGGAATTTGTAAAAATGGGTGAGGAAACACCCAGGGATTGAATAACATGGACATTTTCGACAAAAGGGATGTCGCGCTTGGGACGGAAATTCATCGAACACCAAGCTCATTGAAGCACGAACGAAACACACCCCGGTTCCCCAACATTCAAGGCCAATAAACGGGGTAAAAGGGTCCCAGCGCAGATGTTGCGAATCATTTCCGCAACGAACACATTGAACATAGCCTCTTCTGAAAAGCGAACGATGAGAGAAACAGGGTAGCAACGATGACAGAAGGGTTTGCAATTTGTACCTACACACCGATAACATTCAAGAGCATCCTAAAGAAGCGCAGAACCTTCACTTCTATCATCAGACCACTCAAACACGAAGCTGTGAAAAAAGAGAACATAACGAGAATGTTGACTAGACTCAAAACGTCTCACGTTTCAAGCATTTTACAAGCCTTTAGGGCTTTCCGAAATCTACGTCATGCAAGGTACTATTTTCACTCGGTGACATTTGAGCCACGCCACGGCTCTGAGTCCGCTGCTTCGCAGAATCGTAGCAGTTCGAACATGGCACGAGTCCGCATTACCATCAGAACAATGCAAATATTAGATTGCAGTGCTTGCACTGCGTTGCTTAGTTCGAAAGCACTGTTCCGAGGGCTTTGAACACATAAGTGATAACTCGGAAGGCTCGTAATTGCGTCACATCAATAGCATGAAAATGAATTATTCACGAACATAAGAAAACTCAGATCTCATCGAGATTCAAATGGAGTAAATTCTCATGCGTGAAAACCCTCCGGACTCCACAATACTGCACATACGAAAAGCAACTATAGACTGTACTAAATCTGGCAGATGAATAGTAACTGAGGTGCACCACGTTCGACGCTGCAGAAGTCCGAGGCTTCTCGATGAAGTCTGGATTTCAGAAGCCTATTTTGCTGTTAACATTGGTTAGATTCTGAGACGCATTAGCCACTCGCAAAAGCTTCCACTGTGAGGTGGAAACCTAAATATCTATCGGTGAAAACACGTAGATGTCACAGGATTAAAAATTCAAATCACCGCATGATTGCTGTGCGTTGAGGAAGCAATTTAAATTTCTGCATGCGGCACAGAAAAACGCTGAAGCAGAAGGAATTTCTCATCAGTTCATTACTCAGCATCAGTGGCCACGACGCGTACAACGAATACCGATAGCTCAAGCCGAAAAAAGAGCGTAAGATCTTGTAAATTGTGATGCTCATCGTAGTCATCGACTCACAACACATTCCGATCTTGTTTCCTTTCTTGCATATTTCACGACTAACGCAAATTTGCTGGTATCGGACAGAAAAAAATAGCGTTTGTTAACGCAGCTCGGAGTCAAGCCCATTTCACTTGGTCATCTTCCTCTTCCCATCAGTGACAGATTCATCAGAGACTAAGACAATAAGGTGGGCCCTACTTGTGCAATCAGCCCACCCTGTTTCTTTGATTGGTTACAATCTTAGTCAAGTACAGTACAGTATAGTTACCCTAAGACTGTGTAACCAACTGAACCTCCATAAAATGAACAGAGCGTTTGAAATGACGCATACATTGCGTTTTTTTCATCAAAAAATTCAAACAGAATTTTATGTTCACTGGTGCACTTTTTTTCTCAATGCTGAAAGCATTGAAAAACTATATAGACCATAGCTAAATAAGAAAAACAATCTCAAACTAGCCAAACATAACCTAACTTTTACAAAACTAAGGCTGAACTAGCCAACTTCATCAGGCAGGAATCAAAAGTGGAACACTTAAAAATTTGCAAGCCAAATTTCTGAGATGGCTGCTAAATTAAAGAACGCTTAAGAACACCAAAAAAACAGACATTCATTCAACCCAATCATCAATTAAACGCATTTCAATCACACTACCTAATGTGACTTCATCACATTCTAAGTCATTCAACTTTGTTAGCACACCTAAAGCACAAGCACCTGACAATAACCTAATAGCAAAGCATAAAATTCGCTGCATTTTTCATTATATAGTCGCGAAATCGTTAGCAGACTATATTCTGCGCTCAGGATATATAAATAAGATCAAAGGCGGTTAGAAAAATAAAAGATTCCTAGGAAGCCTGATTATTTTTCGCTGTATAATGTTTGCATTTTGAATTTTCTTCGACCTAATTCTCAGCTTTGTTAAAATGCATTCGGAAAAAAATGTTGGGCGAATGAATCAATTAAATAATATGTCCTCATCGTCCGAAAAACGAATAATCAACCAGGCTTTTTCCAGACAATATAAAATGATTATATATTTATTCAAAATTGCTTATATATTAAGAAATTTTGAAAAATTGAAAAAATGGAAGTCATGATCGTGTGACATGCTGATGAACGAATAGAGGAGAAAAAATAATTTCTTGGGTATTTTGAGCGCGTAAATCACCAGCAATATTAAAATTTTAAGGCACACTTTTCCGCTTCAAGTTTCAACAAATATTGTAATGTACTCAAATTTTTTACTGTTTGATGCCTCACTTGAAGGTTTTATAATAATGCAGTGCAATAAAAACGGCGTCCAATTCGGAATATCTTCCGGTTTAAAACTATTCAATCGAACCATTTTCAGTTTTCGCGGTGACTAATATTTGTGAGTATACCGTAAAAACAGTTGAGTGATTTTTTAAATACAAAATCCTTTCTTCCTTAGCATTTGGTGAATTTTTCCACATTTAACTTACAAACCTGGGTCCGATCGATTTCATATATAGCACAGCCTACATACATTTCATACATAGCATATGCCATACTTTCCAGCATGAAATAATCTAATACAGTATGAGGATTCAAAATTAAGGTATCTAAAAGTTATCCAATCATTATACCTTTGATGCCTTTTTGCGTTAATCTCATATACAGTATTGTACTTTCATTTATTCTGAATAAAAAAATAATAATTTGCTCACTGAAAAGCTGAAAACAAAATGTGACATGTCTTGAAAATAACATCTACACACCCTATATTTAAAAATAAAAAAATTAAATTTTTCTCGCGATGATAAAAATTACTGAACTTTTTCCGTACTACCAGAAAGTGCAATAAATATGTATCGAATTTAGCAAAACAATTGTCATATTTTCTTTCAATGGAATATATGCTATATTATAAACAGTAATTAATTCAATTTGATCTAGCTACAATTTAATTCAGTAGCTTCACCTCCTCATAAGCATTCCCTTATCGAGGCTTCCATTTTTTTTAAATATTTATTCTCGTCGCCTATGCAACCTTTTTATGCATTGAAAACTCAATAAAACCGTATTTTAAACGAGAGGCAGAATTTAGCGTTTAAAAAAACATCACACAGCACCCAGATTATTTGATAAAGAATAAATATTCAGAGGTCCTCGCGAGAAAAATACTGTACCCTTTTTCGGCCCCCACGACCATTAAATGAATTAATAATATAATAAAGGTAAATAATTCGATTGATGATTGATGTTTTTTTCATGTTGAGGAAGAAGGACAGATGACTCTGGCGGAATGAGGTGACTCGCAGCGGATATACAGTACGAGGAACGACCCGTTTTGATGAAAAAGAATATAGCATTGCTGATGTATATGAGGCTGCTGCTGCTGGTGTTGCTGGCTGCTGCTTGGCAGAAGACGAGGGGTTTCGAATAATCACCCCGAAAGGCGATGCTGCTGAGGGGGTTTCATCTCCAGCATTGATCATCATCATCATCATCATCATCATCATCATCTTGTTCTTCATCAGTACGTGCATATAGCGGGATTATTAGAGCACACTGAGGTTGTCGCAGTCCTTGTCCTCGACCTTGCCCCAGACCTTGGAAAAGACGCGTTTGACCCGTCGACTGGCCCTGACCAGCGTCGTCGGGCGACGGACGACGTGCTGCTGCGATGAGGACTTTTCCGCCGCCGCCGCCGTCGCCGCGGCAGCAGCAGCGGCGCCTTCGTGCAAGCGGATCTGGTTGACGAGTCCGACGAGCAGCTCGTCCACGTTGTGGTTGCAGGCGACGGAGATTTCGACGAACTTGGTGTGGTAGGAGGAGGCGAGTCCCTTGCCGTCGGCGTCGGACACGGCCCGACTGCGCACGAGGTCGGTCTTGTTGCCGACGAGGATGGCGGCGCGGTTGCGGAGCAAGTCGCGGCTTTGCAGACGGGCCAGCAGGTGTTCCAGGCGCTCCCAGCTGCCCTTGTCAGTCACCGAGTATTGGAGCAGGAAGGCGTCCGGCGGCGCCTGGGTCCAGCAGTCGCTGGCTCCGGCGTCCATCTATACAAATATTGCCGCGTATATATGCCAGAAAAGTGTCATTATTTTGAGCCATTGTCTGGATGTTGGGCTAGATATTTGGGGGGTTGCAACTGTCCGCAAGTCGAATTGTCCGTACTTCACAATATTCCATTATCTTGGCAATAGATATACTGTAGATATATATTGCCAAGATAATGGAATATTGTACATCCGGACAATGGCTCAAGACAATGACACTTTTCTGACATTTTCCAGAAAAATCAAAAGAATGATTTTTTTTTTATTTTGATATCTCTTCAAACAAATGAACCAAATATTTATATTCACAAAAGTTGAAACAATTTTCATAATAAATTTACTCTAATTCATAATTAAAACCAAACTGATTTAGTGCTTATTCTTTCAGAGTTTTTTATTTATTTATTAAAGCTAGTATACAGTATATCCTTGCACATTAAAGCAAAACTAATATTCTTTTGCTTTTAATTTTGAGCTCCTTTTGATGCCAAAAGATCAGGTTCTATGTTGTTTTCTTCTGCACTGTTGTTTTCCATAACTTGAAGTTGGGGAAACAATTTTATTGGATTTTTGGAGGATTGACTGGTAATGTTTGACAAACAAAACAACCAGCAATCAAATAAATTTGCATTGAAGTCTATGGGGAAAATGAGATCCAACATGCAGATGATTTGATATAGGGACAAAAGGTCCAAGCACCAATCCACATGTCCACATTTCTGGGTCTCATTGACATAAACAGACTCCCCAACATTCTAACAACTCAAGTTAGGGGCACTATTTTAGATCTGAAAAATCTGCCCCTGACATTTGGACAGTGAATCAAGCTACAGAAACTATTCCAAAATTTATGATAAATTTGTAAATTTTATTCTTTGATTTTAATATTTTTTAAAGAAGTAGAGCTACATATTTGGCATTCATAAATGCTAAAAATAAATTTTATAATAAAATTACCCTAACTTACAATCAGAGAAGGATAATTTTTGTGTTTCTTTTCAAGTTTCATATGGTATGTGTTCAGTATAGCAAAACTTGTTCCTGTTTTTTGCTTTTTGAGCTCATATTGATGCCAAAAGATCAGATTCTGTTTCATTTTTTTTCTGTACATTCAAGTTTTATATCCAGAAGTTGAGAAAATTTTCAAATTATTGATCTATACAGGAGAACCAATTAAAAGCATTTCCATTGAAGTCTTTGCTGGGAAATGAGGTCCAATATGTAGATGTTCCAACATAAGGACAAGGTCAAAATACCAGTTATGTACATATCTTGGGGTCCCACTGTAAAAGGTTTTAACTAAATGTCATATACAGTCCATGTACCAGCATTGCTGCTCAACTATGATGTGCCAACTTCATAAAGTGGGGACCAAAATGCGTGGATGTACTGTATATGCTCCAATAAATTCCCTGGCATTTATTTGACATATTAAATTTTTTTCCAAGCCTTTATAATAGAGACTAGTCTCTATAATTGGAATTTTTCTGTTGTGACCTTGTCTGGACTAGAATCCTGGCTTCTCTAGTTTCAAACTAATATGTGAATGAGGTAAAAATGACCCTAACCAAGGAATAAAAAAATCTCAACCACGAGAATGCATTTTCCCCCCATATTGAAACTTTTCTGATCAGTGCAGAAGAATTCTGGATTTTTTCCTGACTTTTTTCTCCAGCACACAAGGTCATTGATCTGACCTAAAGCAAGCTCTTCGGGATACGCACGCAAATAAAAAAAAATGATGAACTCAAATGTTTTCAACAATTTGAAATATAGTGTTTGAAATCTTAGAAATTACCTTGGCGCTGCTCACAATGGTGAACACAAGCTCGCACTCAATTCCATTCACCACCACGTTCAGACTGATGTCCAAACTGCTGTCTTCAGCTGGGAAAAAGTAATGTGAAATGCGAAAAGAAGTAACATTAAACATAATCGCAATCCCAAACACGATACTTTCAACCCCGCCTAACAGACCTCCAGCCTAAGGGATTTTTGCCTAACAGACTTCTGTTGGTGTAAAATGAATGGTAAAAAGTAAAATTTTGAATTTTTCAATTATTGAATTTGCATGACAGACTTTTCACAGAAAAGACTAGTCTGTTGAACAAATTTAGTCCATTGTGCGGGGTTTGACTGTATACACAATGTATTTAATAAAGAGACCATATAATGATAAGTATAAGCCTTGAAGCTATTTTCGGACGCCACCTGCATAGAGCAAAAAAATTTATGGAATATACTGCACATTTCCTTGCATGATGGGATGCTTTTTTGCATGAAGCATTCCAATTGTAGAAATAAAATTTAATTCATATTTTGCGGCAATTGAGCAAAATTTCGTCATGCAGATTTTTTTCTTGTAAAGATATTGTAAGCATGTAGCTTGTTTTACCTTAAGAAAAATATGGATTATTCTTGTGCAAAATATTCGCAAAACTGATTTTCCAACATTATCTGGAATAATATTTACCATTTGTAACTTGAGAGTAGATGATTGAGTGAAAATTTTCTTTTTGAGACCGTTTCAATTCAACCATTTGATTTACAAAATTCATCATGCTAAATTTGTTCAAGTACCATATATCCCAGGAATAAGACCCAAACCTGAATGTTTCAGCCTGAACTTTTGGAAAAATTCTATCCCCATCAATAATATGATCACAGGTGAAAAAATTCAAATTTTCAAATGTACACACAAACATTTGAATATTGACAAGTTGAACTGGAATTCAAATAATTTCCAAACATTGTACTTGAATTTTTAAAATGTTTCCTGTTTAAATTGGTTGAAAATTTCCCATTGGAATTGCGTTCAATGCACACATAAACTTCTAAAAAAATTATCTGAAATTCAACACCAGCACATGTGAATCATACCATTTAATTTTCCTCTCAATTTTGAGAAAAAAAAGGCGCATGTGTTGCTCAAGTACTGTATATTAATTTCCAGTACATGAGGCACCATGTGTAAATAAAACCTTTCTTTTGATACGCATGTGAAGCACCTAAATACGTTTATATTTATCATGAAAAACTTATTGACACATGCATTAGAATTTGAATTTAAATAAGAATATGTGCTCACTGGACTGGCTGCGTTCGTAGACGTTGATGCATTCCGAGGTCATGAACTGGTTGACCAGGGCATTTTTTCCCACACCCGGTACCCCAAGTAGGGCAACCCGGTAAGTGCGGACATGTTCGGGTTTTGAACCGGAAGAAGTGGACACTGCTCCTGCCGCTGCTCCAGCTGATCCTCACATAATCAAAATTATTACATTATGTATAATTAAACATGCCATTTTGCAGATCCCATCAGGGCAGAATTTCTGAGTTTCATGTGTTCATATAATGTACATACAGGAAATATTGGGAATAATGTGTGCAACCTCTTGAAGGTAGCATGAAGTTTACTGGTTATTTTTGGTCCATGCATCCCATTTATCCCCAAGGACAGCTCTGGAGAACAACAGTTTAAGGGAAGGAGTTGCCAGAAAATTTTTTTGTTGTTGGAAGTTTTCATTTCAAATGGCTTTTGTGACCATGTGGTGGACTATATAAAACTTCATACAAATTAAAAATGAAATTGAACAAGCTTTTATTTGGTGTTTTTAAAATTCCTGTAACTCAATTTGCTATACTTAGTTATTACCATTCAAAAATTGGTTCACTCTTTTTAGTTAACCCTGTCCATATATGAAATGGAAATGAAAAATTGTCCAAATCATCAGGGCAAATGGATCTCAAAGCCCCAAAAATAAACTATACAGCACTACTGTTGAATAACCTCTTTATTACTTGAACCTCCTGGAATTCAAATACTATAGCTCCCTACTAGTCCATTTTTTAAAGTCCTTGTGTGAAATCCCTTAGAATCAGTGCATGATAAACCTCCATAGCTCAAAGACTTTTTTCTTAAACTTCTATTACCGTATTTACTTGAGTACCACGCGCCCTCAAGTAAGGCGCAGAGGGGTTTTTGAGTTGGAAATTTTGCTAAAATCTTATCCCTGAGTAAGACACGCACCCCAATTTTAGTGAATCTGAAACCACAAAATTTGAAAATAAAAACAAAAAATTGACTTTAGGCATGAATTGAACAAAAATCTCATGAATTTTCAACTTTTTCAGTAAAAAAACGTTTTCTTGTTACATTTGCTCAAAATATCTCCATTATAATCAGGTATAATGCACACATAACTTCCTGAAACTTTTTGAAAATTTCGTACCTGCTTATGACGCAGACCCCTTTTTTCTTCTGAAATTTGGGAAAAAAGGTGTGCGTGGTACTCAAGTAAATATAGTATTTTGATTTTCTGGAGGTCTTTTGGATATTATGTTTATGAACCAGCAGAAAATAGAAAAAAGTTAATTTGATGAGCTTTGTAAGCATAAGTAAGAAAATAATCGAGAAAATAAACTTTTTTTGCCTCCAAGTTCAGCATCCTCTCAATTTATTTAAGAAGCAATTGAAGCCCTAGAACATTCATATCCCAAAATCATGATTTCCTAATTCATATCATTCTTCTTGCTTTCCCCCAACAAAAGTGCTTGTTTCCATAATTGGAAACCTCCATAAATATAGGACTAGGTTGCAAATTTTCTGCTGTTCCCTTGAAGTTTGATTTGAAAAGGTTCTACTGTATTATAAAAATACTGTACATAGATACACTATTATACCTCATCATTTAACACACTGCATACTTTTTGTAAAATATTCATTTTTGAGTTTCCGGCAAAAATTCTGCATTAAAAACCCATTTCCAGACAAAAAGTCACAAAAATTAAAATTCTCAAGGCAAAAATTCAATTCAAGTAGCAAATTAACAGAGAGTGAAGCCGTTCAAGCAACCCACACTGTAGTAACGCAATAACTCACCAGGGCAAGAGGACTGAGTGGCGGCGGTCGCGCTGCATTGTGGCGCCGCCGCTCCTGCCGCGGCGGCATGAGACGAGGTAATATCATTCATCATCATCATCATCATTTGTTGCTGCTGCTGTTGTTGTTGTTGTTGTTGCTGTTGATTGTAATGATGCATTGCAGCAGCATGGTAATTGGCAGCAGCAGTAGTTGCTGATGAATCTACACCACCGGTCGAATTATTGGCAGCCAAGGCGCAACAACTGCCTGCCAACGGGATGCTGTTGCTTCGCGAATTCCTCCGGCGAATTGAGTCTCCACGATTTATTATCCCTTCATAAAAAGAAAAGAGTTTTATGACATTTGAAGTGTAGAATAAAATTCAAGAAATCATCTGCGAATTTTGAGGGAAAATACTGCACTGATACTGATTCCAAAGTGTTCATTAACATTGGCAAAGCAGTGTTGCCATGATGCAGCGCAGGTGCTGATGATAAATGGATGGCACAACTGTGATGTACTGTATTGTACTTTAAACCTTTTGGATGCCCAGGATTCATTTTGCATAGATCAATACCCCCAAGTAAGAAACAGAAAATTAAAAAAGCAAAATAACTGCTTTCAGAAAATTTACTGTACTAAGACATTTCTGAATGATATGCCGTACTGTACCCAAATCATAGTACAGTACATTATACCCATATTTCAGTATGCATCCTGTTTTCTTTTGCTGTTGCTGGATATACAGTACTGTAATAGACAAAATCTGGGAAAATTTAGATCTTTTCTATTACTGCTGTACATGTTTGCTGAAAATTTATTTCCACTTGGTTCAGTACAGTGTATATAGTACAATACATTACATTATTTTTTTCTTTTTTCCTACTCAAATAATATCATTGACTTTTTTTTAAACCCACATGATTGAGCTGTAACAACAAATCTCAATTCATCTTCAGCATTAACACATTTTTTGTGTTCAGAAAAAGTTACAATTTTATACTTTTTAAAAATTCTTGAATTCTCATTGAAAATATAATGATTTACAATGTTAGAACTAAGAACTTGCTGATTTCATGTGAAAGAAATTTGTTCATCTGATTCACTTGAAAAAACGGTTCTACAATCAATGATGGGTTCATAATACTTTTTTTGTAAATTGAATAAAAATTACATCTGCTTTTACTTCTCCATGAATGGAGTGCTAAAGTAAAAATCAAACTAGTAATTTTGTAAGACAAAAGAATGACAAAAAACCAAGGGCTTCTGTAGGGTACAAAGTACTGTATAAGAAGTACCCAGCAAAAAAAAATTGGGGATTGAAGAACAGACGCGCCTCTTCAAAAGAGCACTTGTTGGCTGGTTGAAAAAAGTGCTATTCAGCTAAAAGGGAATAGGTTTGAAACAAAATAGGAACAAACCCTTTGGGGTGAGGCTGAAATTTCTGAGTCTGTAGGAGTCCTCGTCTTCCACACCCGCACCTGATGGGCCACTGGGTGCTGGTGAGGCGAAGACCCTGGAGCGACGCAAGGCTGCTGAACGGCTGTAGTCTTTGCGTCTGGCACCGGGCATTGGGGAACCCTCTGGGGTTCCAAACGAGTGCTGAAAGAGGAATCAGAAAGATGCAGATGGAAATGAGGGAAGATTCCCAATTACGTGGTTTCCTTGACTCAAAAACTTCTGAAGACAATTTTTTGAGCCCCTGATACCTGGGTTTTGACCTAAAGATGTTTGTCTGTATAGTTGAAGTTTTCATGAAGGAAATCAGTGACTCACTGTAGGAAATGTAATCCAGTACAGTATTATTATTCAGTATTATTCAGTATTATTTCAAATAATTCAGTATTATTTCAAATAATTCAGTATTATTTCAAATAATTCAGTATTATTTCAAATAATTCAGTATTATTTCAAATAATTCAGTATTATTTCAAATAATTCAGTATTATTTCAAATAATTCAGTATTATTTCAAATAATTCAGTATTATTTCAAATAATTCAGTATTATTTCAAATAATTCAGTATTATTTCAAATAATTCAGTATTATTTCAGTATTATTTCAAATAATTCAGTATTATTTCAAATAATTCAGTATTATTTCAGTATTATTTCAAATAATTCAGTATTATTTCAGTATTAAATTATTTCAGAAATAAAATACTGAAATAATTATTTCAGTATTAACAAGTATTAAATTCAGTATTATTTCAACTCATCCAGCAGTTTAACACCCACAATATAGCCTATTTTGCCCTCCTGAAACCTCTTTTGCCTTTTTACAGCAAAAATGCTGCTTTTCCTGACTCAAAAACTCATCCCAATAAAAAATATTTTTCTTGAGTCCCTCTGAGTTCAACTTGAAGAGGTTTGACAGTACTGTACTGTAGTTTTGTTATGCCAAAAGGAGTCTCAGGAGTATACCAGCAGGACCCATTGCCATGGTCCCCCTCACCAACAACACAATTCAATGAAAAGATTAGGACAAAAATTGCTGTATTTACTCAAGTACCACATGCCCTCATATAAGACAAGCACTCCATTTTCTAGGCAAACATTTTTTATAAAATTGTATTCTTGGGTAAGACACATGCACCCCATTTTTAGTGACACTAAAACTGCAATATTTTTACATCACAAATGCTCAAATTTTAATTTAGACATGAATTGATCCTGGATTCAAGTAATTTTCAATCACAGTCAAACCTATCCAAGTTGAATTTAAAGGGACCTTAAAAAGTTAGACTTATAGGGATAAGTTTTGACTGAAGAAGTTTCTGAGTTAGGAAGGACTTGAGTTGGAAACATTTTGAGCTGGAAAACAAAGCATTTTTGTTGTGGGAAACATTGAAGAATGTCAAGAAATAGTAAATGGTGATATTCTGGGCCTTGAATTGCTTCTTGAATGAGTTGACAGGATGCTGAGCTTGGAGGCAAGGGTTAATATGCCCAATTATTTTTTCAATTCCTTTCAAAGCACATCAAGGTACATTTTGTTTTGATTTTCCTGAGACAAGAAAACAGTTGTCAAAGGGCCTCAGAAAATTTGAGTTACAGAGGCTTGAGTGCATAGTAAAAGTGTTTGAGCTAGAGATGTTTTTAATGCATTGTTTATAAGGGTATTCAGACAAGGACTCAAAAACAAGAATCATCTTAAGGGGGATAGTAAACTTGGAGAGCTGTTCCAGTTATTATTTGGGTTCAACTGTATTTCAATTACAGTACCATACGTTTTTCTCTTGAAATTGGTCCAAAATTCCCCATAAGAATCAAATATGAAGCACACCTTAAGTTCTAAAACTTAAAAAGAAATACTGTCACTGGAGTAATTTATATGTACCACTTGCCCTTGAGTAAGGCGCGCACAGGGGTTTTTCAGTTTGAAATTTGGCTAAAATCTTATCCCAGAGTACAACTTGCACCCCAATTTTTAGTAAATCTAAAACCACAAAATTGTGGAAATAGAAGCAAAAAATTTGACTTCAGACATGAATTTTAAAAAAATCTGACCAATTTTCAAATTTTTCAGTGCAAAAAAGTTTTCTTGTCACATTTATTTTCCAAATTTCTCCATTATAATTATGTATATAATGCACATAGAACTTTCTTAAACTTCTTGAAAAGTTGTACCCGCTTATGACGCGCACCCCTTTTTTTCTTCTGAAATTTGAGAAAAAAGGTGCGCGTGGTACTTGAGTAAATATGGTATATGTTCATCATTAGCACATCTTTCCTTTATTTAAATTTTGAGAGCTTCTTGAATGAGTTGACAGGATGCTGAGCTTGGAGGCAAGGGTTAATATGCCCAATTATTTTTTCAATTCCTTTCAAAGCACATCAAGGTACATTTTGTTTTGATTTTCCTGAGACAAGAAAACAGTTGTCAAAGGGCCTCAGAAAATTTGAGTTACAGAGGCTTGTGCACATAGTCAAAGTGTTTGAGTTAGAGATGTTTTTAATGCATTGTTTATAAGGGTATTCAGAAAAGGACTTGAAAATAAGAATTAGCTTAAGGGGGATAGTACATTTGGAGAGGTTCAAGTTATTATTTAGGTTCAACTGTATTTCAATTACGGTACCATACGTTTTTCTCTTGAAATTGGTCCAAAATTTCCCATAAGAATCAAATATGAAGCCCACCTTAACTTCTAAAACTTTAAAAAAATACTGTCACTGGAGTAATTTATATGTACCACTTGCCCTTGAGTAAGGCACGCACAGGGGTTTTTCAGTTTGAAATTTGGCTAAAATCTTATCCCAGAGTACGACTCGCACCCCAATTTTTAGTAAATCTAAAACCACAAAATTGTGAAAATAGAAACAAAAAATTTGACTTCAGACATGAACTTTAAAAAAATCTGACCAATTTTCAACTTTTTCAGTGCAAAAAAGTTTTCTTGTCACATTTATTTTCCAAATTTCTCCATTATAATTATGTATATAATGCACATAGAACTTTCTTAAACTTCTTGAAAATTTGTACCCGCTTATGACGCGCACCCCTTTTTTTCTTCTGAAATTTGAGAAAAAAGGTGCGCGTGGTACTTGAGTAAATATGGTATATGTTCATCATTAGCACATCTTTCCTTTATTTAAATTTTGAGGAAAAAGGTGCACACCTGCTGATGGCACTTCAGTATAGTAAATACGGTATGTCACAATAATCATACTGCCAATAAATAACCTGTTGTCTGACAGCACATGGCCCACTGCTGCTGGCAGCAACAGGGTCCCCCAGCATGGGGTCCATGAGCTCACTCTCTTCCAGATCCCGGGTGCGACCCCTTTGGAGCCTGATGACCGGCTTGTTGGGTGGCCTGGCACTCTGGGACCTGTGGGCCTTGCTGCGCTGCTTCAGCCTGCCTTGCGCCGCCGCGGAGCCCGGGTCCATCATCAGGCCCGATGACGTCATCGGCGCCGTGGGTGCTAACATGACGATGGCAGCGGTCTATATACTGGAGCGTAGGATTTAAATGATGCCTATCGCCGCGGATATATTGGAAACGCCGCCTTAGTTTGCGTAAAAGCCACTTTTCCTTTTTTTCTCTCTCGTTTTATTATATACAGAGGATGTATGAGGGAATTCTTCCTCCGTCCTCTTTCTGCTGGGGTACTGAAAATATTCCCTTCGTTCTCCCCGCGGATTATTTGTCTAGAACGAGAGAAGAAAAAATATAATCTTGGATATATAAAGCACAAGTGAACTCTTTCTAGACAGTAATCTTGTCCAACACTGATTTTCTCTGTAAAATGAATTTTTATTTGATCCCGTACATAGGGTCCACTCCATATGTTGAAAGGGGTTCTCTACAAAGAAATTCTCATCTTTGCACATTCTTTTTTTTTTGTTTCTTGAATTTTGTTGTAGAGAGTGTCCACCTAGCTGTATGTGTTGCATTTGTGTTTTTTGGATATTCTGTAGTTGAATCTTTTGCTGAAGTCAAATTCATAAAAAAGGACTAGAAAAATGCGACTCAAAGAAGGTTTTGAGCTAGATGAAACTACAGTATACTACTATTAAATAAAAAAGAATCGAATAAAGTTTAAATGAATGATATTTTTGACCCAAAACTACCTTGTGAAGAAGTTATATATGCTGAACTTATTTTATTCTTTGATTTATTTCTTTCAAAATGTATCAACTTAGATTTTTATTGCTTTCCTATTTCCTGTGTCAGTATAATTTAATAGAAAATGACTTCAGAAAATTTGAGTTATAGAGGCTAATTAGGGGGAAATCTTTTGAGAGATTTAAATAAAGGCATTGGTCTTAATTAATAAGGGAATTGTCCAGGCATTGGCTGCCGGATATTTGAGTTTGGTTCAGTTTTTTGTAAGAGTTTAAACTTAAAGAGAGGTTCAACTGTATAAAATGTACCTCCAGTATTCAACTAGAGCAAGGGTTTCATCAATCTCATTTGGTAAGATTATCTGCAAAAATGGGTAAATGCTGAATGTCAAATATCTCAGCAACAGGTGGACTCTCTCAACAACAATAATCTTGTCTACAGAAATTTTCTCTGTACAGTATATAGGGATAATTTTTTGTCCCACAGAAATTTTCTTCCTATGTTTTAGGGATTGGATTATCTTCAAGTATTTTTGGTACCTTGCATTTTGGTGTAGAAAGAGCACACCTGCATTAATAATACTCCACAAGGGAGACCCCAAGATGTGGACATAACTGCAGGAGCATCAAGAGTGTCCTATACTTTTGGAATGTCCCTAAGTCAAGTATCATTTCCCCTTAGAATTCCATGCTAATGAATTTAATTGGTTCTCCTTTTGTTAAAAATTATAAGTTTGTCCTCAAAATTTTTTCATTAAAATTTTTTCCTTCAAGTTGTAGAAAACAACAGTGCAGAAGAAAACCACAGAGAATCTGATCTTTATTATTGGTATCAAAAGGAGATCAAAAGCAAACAAAAATAATAAGTCTTACTATATAGAACATGATGCACAGATGATGATAGAAACAACTCTGAAAAAAGATTATGAAGTAGAGTGAATTTATCATGAAATATTTTTTAGATTTTATGAATATTAATACTGTAGCTTGATTTCTGGAAACTGTAGAAAGGATATCAAAATTGAAAATTAAAATGTTTCAATTTTTTAGGGAAAATTTCAGGAAAGTATCCCTAACTTGAGCCAATGTCTGGATGTTGGGCTTGCTTTTTTTTGTTTTCTGAGTGTCCCAAAGACCAAATTGTCTGTACTGTATGTCCGCACATCGGGGTCTCAGCACTGTAGATTGTGATCACCAGCACTAGCAGTACTGTAGTATAGTTGGCACCGAATATCGACAAGAGCGACATCTTTCTCGTTCTTCGGAAAACGATACACGCACTGATCAAAGAGATCGGCTAAACGAACACTGAACTATTGAGTGTTATTACGTCACCCAAACAAACTGCACTATCAGTTCTTCTCACTTACTTACAAGCATGGAATCCCCGAACGAAAGGAGCATGTTTGTTCAGCACTTGACTTTGACGACCACGCGAAGACTGCATTTATTTGCTGTTTACTTGAAGAAAAAACCTGGGTTAGCTCTCGTGTGCGCTCTTGGCGGCTATTTTTGAATCACTGTATTTTTGTGATTCAAAAATCCAAGAAAAGCTGGTTCCAAAGCACACCATTATCCTGCTTTCTTAATTAACTTCGAAGTTCTTTGAAAACTTCATCTCCAGCAGCAGGCAGATTAATTTTAGAATGATATAATACAAACAGACGGTAAAATAACTACAATAATCCAGCATCCCTGTTTGCGAAAAGTGCATACATATATGTGAAAAGGAATTTGCCTTAATTAAAATTGAAAAATGCATAAGCCATTTATTGAGGCTTCACAAAAGTAAAGGCGTATACATCCACCTAAAAGATCTGATTTTTTGTAATTTCAGTGCCTAAAGTTGAATTGATCCATTGTAATGAAGTTGGAGTGATCCTGAAAAGTTTGTGATCATGTAACTTCCTGAAGCTCTCAAATTCCCAGCACGAGGCAGTTGCTTTATCATGCTCCTCAACTGTTGTGTGAAATTTTTAAGTTTTAACTCATGAATAGGTAAAATTCATGCACATTCAGGCAGAAGAATTTCATGAGAAATTTTTCGTGAGTCAATTCAGAAGTTCATTAATTTTCTGCGTGAATCTCCAAAGGCTGATTAATTTGTTCTACGCCCTTTTGGGATGTAAATGTATACTTCATAATTGTAGACCGAGTTGTTCATCAAATCCAGACCCCTCAAAAATTTTCAGCATGGAACAATACTTGACATTCATCTGAGCAAGATTATTTTGAACACATCAATCCACACACAAAAATGTTCAGTATAAAAAATGTTACTGATGGTAATCACATGTTCAAAAGTAAATGGACAATAAATGGTTAATAACCATTAACCGTGGTTATTTAATATGGACAAATTTTCATGCAGTCAATTATCTTTCCAAGTCTCTTTTTTAGGCAAAAAACGCCTTCACTTAGGCGCATTAAAATCCTGAATGGCAGAAATTCCCTGGTCTCAAGACATATTCTTTCGCATATGAACTATCCTAATGCCACTGATTCATCAGTATTTTTGGTTCACTTCCCACTGACTTTAAGTGAGTCACTCCTACAAAATGGATTCACTATTCGTATTCAGATTTTAAATATTTAGGCAAACCTCATGACACGGATAGCTCGAATTCTCATCACTTCCTCTCAAATTTTCACAATATTTTTTTTTCAATTTTTGCCGCTGATTTTCGGGAATAACCCAAGGAATTCAGTACACATTGCGATTCAGCAAGAATAATAAAACTCCTGATTTGGGCATAACCCTGAATTAGGCTTTGAATATTTCAAATCTTGGTTTGCTACACAAGTTTTCAAACTTCCAATGATCAACACGTTCATCCAAACGATATAATTAGTCACGGCCACGTCGAGAAAAACAGGTAACACACGCAGATCACTCTGAAAAGCAAACGGTGACTCAAACTGGGATTTGAAACAAATTTAGCTCTATAAAAATCCGAATTAATGAGGGCACGGCAAAAACAGAACACTCGCATTCAAGTAAGTTTAGCAACGGTCATCACAGGTTTTACTTTCGAAGTAATGTGCTGTAACGTTATTTCAATACCCCTCGGGGAATCTCCAGAATCAGCGAATTCTGATTATCCACTTTCGCAAAAATTCAACGGCTCATAGAAATAAATAAATCATGAATGGTTGCATATTCTAGCAATAGGTAATTATTTCAGAAAATGAACATGGGCACGGATTGATTTAAGCGCTGTTTAGAGCATTTTCAATAGATCAGGGCGTTTCAACCCAACGTAAGATGACGAGCAAGAGGATTGTTTTCCAGTCAATCAGGAACAAGTACCAGATGCTAATGTGGGCTTCATTCATGTCCGTGAGCCTCAGGGCATGTTCAAATGTTGTAATTTTGTAGCTAGTGAAAGGGAACAATCCATTCGCTCACTAACACGAGTGGAGACTAATTTTTCTTGACCCATCCACAGTCAATGATAAAGCTTCTACGGAAACACGATTCCCAAACAATAGTAATACACATGCAAGAATAACTCACGAATGACAAAGAATATTCATCGCTCGGGAGCTGGTGAATAACACCTCGCTTCTCCGAGTTTTTCCTTGGAAATCAGGAGAATCCCTGCTGAGGAAGATTCAATCAACCGCTCATCTGAACAGTAATTACCCACAGGACGTAATTTCAGACTAGTTCCGCCTTCAACAATGACAACCGTTCTTCATTGACCTCGCTCTTCTTGGACTGCATTCAGTTACCTTCGAAGATGCACACATCGAATACATGAGCAGAATTATTGAATAGAAAAATACTGTACAGAATATGGAAAGGAAAAATCATGCTAAAATTTCAAGTCCGACAGCTGCATAGTCATGGAAAATTTAATGTTAAGTTTTCACCATCAACTCTCTGTCGCATAATCATTTCACGTTATTCACCTTTGATGCAGACATATTTTGAAATGGATTTGGTAACACATTTCTGAATCGAAAGATCCATCGCCAATTCTTCATCTTGCTCCATGGGAGTGTCTTCCAATCGGATAGCACAGCATCACGACTAAAATCAACCGGGAAAGACAATTTTAAATAGTACTGTAGTTGTCGTGGCTAGAAAATTCAGAACATTTTTGCGATAACCACGAGATTAACTGATTATCGTCCCCGTAACTTCTACATCTGATTCTCTCGAAAAATAACCAGCAAGTATCTGATTTCCTCTAAACGTAACCCGTGAGAACGATATTTTCATGTTTACATACCTTTGATCAACATGAAAATCAGTCTCATCCAACTTCAGGTTGCGAATAATTCGATTTTCATAACCTCCAACGGATTCCTGCAAACGCACAAGGCCATTTCCCGAGCAAGTATTCGGAAGCTCCAAAAACGATCATCACCATCGACACTTGCGATCCGAAACATCATGCCCAGTTCGGTATTCGACGCAAGCAAATTGCATCGAAATATCTTATGAATATTTCGACTTAACGTGACCGGCATCCTGCAAATTTAGTTTTGTTTTCGGATTGACATCACTTCGTCCTGCAAATCACAATTTTCCAACAAATTGAATACACAAATTCTACTCGGCCGGAAGAGCTTCAGAGAGTCCTACACGTTACGCCTCAGCTCACCTGTACCGATGTACAGTATATAATTCCGACTAGTTTAATTTAACATGCGTGCAATAGACGCTTTCATCAGCCATTATCCATGTTAAGACGAAGTTTTACCGGTAAAACAGGACGTGAATCAAGCTCCGAAAATATCGGGTCAGCAATGACGCATACGAGGTCATTGGAGAAAATTCATCGCTCCTGATCAAACATTCCACTACATCCAGGAAGCTTCACCCAAAGTATACGTCGTAAATAATCACTGTGATTCGTGTAGGCGTTTTCAGCTAGAACACTAGATTCACTCTCAGTCGACAATCTGCCAGAACTCCAACGTGTTCCATGCACTCTCGGACTCGTACTGTCTTTTACGTAAGCAGACAAAAATTTGAGTAAAATAAAGTTATTCAGATCTTCTAAATCGAAATAAAAACCAAAAAATACGCTCCGCACACAGACAACTCGTTCATGAAAAAATTGTGAGCTGACACAGGAGTCTCGAGAAGTTCGCGGAGAGAAGCATCCGAGAACATAAAGAGCAGGCGGCCACCTTTGTCTCTGGCATCCATCGAGTATCCCACAATTAACGTCGGTTCAACTTCCCGTTCCAGTCGATGAGATTCCGAAGTTTTACTAACGCTAAGCTAGAATTGTATCATTACGATGAAATAAGCATCAAACTTGGCAACCGTACGGTAAGCTATTTACATTCCTGCATGGAAAGCTCGAAAGCTTTCGTTTCTTGAAAATTTTATGAAAGGTGAATGTTTACACAATGAGAACAACCTTGGATTGTTGAAGCGCTTTCTTCTCCATCGCGCGTCCATCGTTGCTGAGTCCATTCCTTGCGTAGGCGCTCGTTAGGAAGGTTGTTCGGCGCGCGCAACGTGAAAATATTTCTATCAACAGAAATAGGTTTCTAGCTGTCGTGTTTTGCTCAAGCTCAGTCGTTCGTCGATTTCAAAGCAATTATAATGTACTCGTGGTTATGTTATCAGAATGCAAATATTTGTTTAAATGGAAAAATATTATACAAAAATCGAGTACGTGACCGTCTCGTCAAAGTCGAGCTGTTCCCGTTCTGCTAAAGTTGAATCCAGAGGATTGTCGTACGGTCATAGTTATGGGTGGAAGAATGCCGAATGCCTTGAAGTGTTGGTACTTCGTAGAACAAAGTGATAGTTGTAGGGTTTTCACACTGGAAAGGAATTCAATGTTTCTCATTTCATTTTCCTTACGTTGAATGACAAGTTCGTATGACTGTCCTGAGTTTTCTCGTGAACGCCTATTCCAGGATGGACCTCGACCGTAATTCCAGGATCATTTTCGAACCTAATCACCCCTAGTAACCACTGATGGCGTTCACCGTGAACAAATGTTACTAATCTGTGATCACCGCGAGAACGTCGGGTGTCTTCGAAAACCTACGGTACCGCCTTGGTGCTGTGACTCTTGTCGTGTAGTAGAAATTCTGCGAATGAATCCTGCGTGCTTCTCTCTGTTCGCGAGCCGCTCTTGTGCCTTTCGAAGAACGGATTCCGGAGCCACTTTTTCAACTCACACGAAAGCTTTAGATGCGCTAGCATAGCCTCGATTCCCTCGGACGAAAAAAGATTGACAGGATGGTTACCTCTGAAGCCATTCAAGTCTGCGTAAGGTGAGTTCATGTCAATTTTTCTGATGAGTCTCATTTCGAAGTCCCGCGCGCTCAGAATTCGGAATTCATGCTGTGGTGCATATAAGGAAAAATGTTCGGGTTATTTGTGTCGGGAGAAATAATTTTCCGTTCGCGACGATATTTGTACATTCTCGATTCAGATGACGAGTTTATTCGAGTGTGAGGCTTCATGGCTTCGTCGATTGTAACAAATTTCTGCTTGAAAGAAAAGCGAATGTTATGCGAATTTAACAACAATCGCTTAAAAAAACAGCCCTTGCGGCTTAATAGCTTAATTTATTTTAAAGTATTTTATAAAGATACCAAACTGAATATGACCATGAGATTCGTTATTCCTTTGATTTATTTCTTCTACAAGTTTGTTAAAAAGGTTTGTGTTTGTAACTTTGTTAGAAGCAATCCAGCTTTTACGAATGTAAGACGCATCCTGATTGTTAAGAACTCTATTCTCATCGCTTGAAGGATTTTCTTTCAAATAATATACTACGTACGGAATTCAAGCTTTCAACGGACATGGAAGTCCTTGTTTTGCAAAGCCTCGACGTGTTTGAACTTTTTTGAATTCATTATTTCGGGTTGTGATCGAGGAATACGTTCAATTTCACCGTGTTTGGTGAAGATTTGCGTGAATCTCTCTGGAAGAAACTACCCCTGAAATTCGATCTTACTGTGACTTGAAGTGAAACCGGATCAATTCGAAATACAGTACTGTAAGTGTTGTATGCATCCATTTTGAAATTCCTTCCGAATGCGGGTGGGGGAAACAAAATCCGGTTGTGAAATGACGAATTTCGTGCAAGTTTTGCTTAGCAAGTAGCATTTCGTGTGTTTAAGGAAGGTGTTACCGAATATTCTTGCATCTCTCGGAAGGCTTTCCTTAAGGAAAGATGACTGTCTGTCACGAGCATGTGTGCAGCCAATCTTACATGGCTGAGCGTTTCGAGTTCATCTCAATCCTTCAGCCGTGTCGCTTTGCATTCGTGGCTCACGGACAAGTTGCGTTACATTAATGCTCGGCAGACCATCTGGTGGGAAATTTCATTCCTTTTACGGTGTACCGAGGAAATTTCTCTTGAAAACTTTGACGAGGACTCGTATATCCAACCAAAATCGTTACGAGTACTGCGATTTATCTGGTATTTTAAAATTTTAATGCAGATTTATTGTTACCGCACGGGCACAGGAAGAAATGCAGTATTGCATTCACAAGAAACGCGCGACATTCCTTCAGCGATATTCGTACTTAAGTTCCTAGTCAAATGAAATGCCCAAAAATTTAGAGCAGCGGGAATAAGATTTTCTTAAATTTCTCCGGAAAATTAATAAAAAAAAGTGTATGTATTTTCTCTCCCGAGAATAGAGCGTTCGTTTTAAGGAGAGTAGTTTGTTATATCTGTGTGTCAATATTTGTGTGACGCGCGTTCTTTTTGGCATTTATTGTAAGAGGCACTTCGTTACTTCATGTTTTTCATGTGAGCGGGATGATCTAGATTCTAGAGAACAGGATGTATTTGAGTTGTCGCTATGTGAATATTTTGTACTTTTATGGACTCGTCTACATTGTTCCTCTTATCTAATTGATTTTTTTTATTGAATAGGAAATTACTGTAAACGTTTATCATCTTTCGTGACGACACAAGCTCAGTTTCTCATAGCTAAAATCATAATTTCATGTACTTGGTGCGAACGTTTTTGAAAATCCGGAACGATTGATTTAATTTCAACGTATTTTGAAGAAAATACGTTCCAAACATTTTCTCTTTAAAGTCATTGAAGTCAGAATGAGGACCTTCATATCTTACACACCTTTTTGCTCTAAATTTTAGCTGAATTCCGCATGTGTGAACCCTCTTCGTTGAACAAAATTATCCATTGGGATAAAGCTTTGCTTTTCCTGCAACACCGTGAAGAATATCAAGAAATTGTTATAGGCTTTGTTGGTGAAATTATGCAGAGTTCGAAGAAACCTCGGTTATACGGGTACTGTACAGTACGTATTTCCGATTTATTTTCGTTTTCTCAAATTTTATTTTTATACATCGTAGGGATCCAATGATTAATACAGTACTTGAGTATTTTGCCTGGTCAATTCCATGGATTCAAATGTTGAACAGTATCTACCACAAGAGGGAAAAACACGTACGACTGTCTTATCTGGTCCCTAGAATCCTCTAAACTATCGTAGAATTCGATTCTACTAAAAAAATCCTTCTGCGAATCTCTTATCGATCACGTATTCGCCCTAAAAGGATATTCCTTCTGATGCAAAGGAATTTCATCGTAATAAATCTAATAAAATTGTTTCTTCGAGTATGCATCGAATAGAAAATCCCATCGACATCGATATTTTAATTTTTGGGACGCATAAATATCGTTTCAAGCACAAAAAAATCAAAAATCAACGAGTGTTTTACAAACGAGTCATTCATTGAATATGTCGAGATGTTCGCTTGGGTGGCGGTATTTTGGGCAGTCGCGGATCTCCGACCTTAGGAATTTTGTGTGGAGCCGGAATTCCTTCCAAGTTTATTTATTTTTATTTGCTGTTGTCGATAGTGATGGTTGGGTTGTCGTCGTTCGCGAAGCTTCGCATCATCGTCATGTGTCCCACATGCTCATGCAATTCCTCTTTTTTTCAATCTCTCTCTCTCTGACGATGTCGAGTCGTCGTCAGCCTTGGTCAAACGCGCGTGATAGCCTCGACTCGGAAGACCAGCCGACGATGGATCGAATATTGCGTCACATCTTTTGTTTTTTCTTCTTCTTCATTTTACAGTGGGGGCCTTCTGCTTCTCTCTCTCTCTATCTCTCTCTTGTTCTCTCTTTTGCTTGCCCGTTCACCCACGGGGCCCTGGATGTATTCATGATTTTCCTGGGGACCTTTCATGGAATGCGGTGTTGATGTTACCTTGATTTTAAAGGAGGCTGCTCTAGTTTGGTTGATCGGATTTTGGTAGAAATACGCTTGCATTCGCTGAAATTCAGGGACCATGAATGAATCATTGTATGGATGATATCGACCGGGAAAACCATTTGTAAAGAAAATTTCGTTGTGGAGAGAGTCATATGTCCTTTAAAATTCGAAGAATGGGGTTTTTTGAGTTGATATTTTGAAAAATGTAGTTTTTTGGCATTTTTTTCTGAGCATCGTATTATTTGAGTTTGGCGTCTATACATTAATTTCTTCCGATGTCATGTTCCGAGAGAACAATGGGTCCTTTAGGTGTACCGAGGAAATTTCTCTTGAAAACTTTGACGAGGAC